CGTGTGCGGGCACGTCGGCTCCTCGCGGTCGTGGAACTGGGCCACGTACGGATGCAACAGGGCCTATGCCATATATATTGAGCCAACCCACGCCAGCCGTCAGCCAATTGCCAGCGGAGTACACATAAATTACACTGCAACCAGCCAATCCGTAATTGTTACCTCCTCGGCGCTGATCCGCTTGTCGGGGCTGAACTGCAGCAGACGCCTGAGGAGGCTCAGCGCCTCATCAGGGGCCGTCGGGTATATGTCCGACAGCGAGCTGTGTGTGTGTGTCGAATAGTGAGATTCAGAGGTTCTACAAGGTGCTATGTTTGTGTGCGAGGCGAGGAAGTGTACCGGGGCTGGGAGGGGGGCAAGCTCTCCAGCATGTTGGCGGCGAAAGGGGACTTGATAGCCTCGATGTCCTCCGAGGTGGGCCGGCCGGTGACCTCGATGATGCGGTCGAGCTGGTTCATGGTGGACGTGCCAGGGAACATGGGCTTGCCTCCCAGCAGCTCGCCTAGAATACAGCCGATCGACCACATGTCCACCCCCTTCGTGTACCTACTCACCGCCACCACCATCAGATTAAGCTCTTCTTAAGGTGGCGCTGATGATGGTTAAGGTGGCGGCTGGCGTGCGTACCGCTGAGAGCCGAGGAGGATCTCTGGCGCTCGGTACCAGCGGGTCGCCACGTAGTCGGTCAGGACGGGGTTCTCCACATCTTCGTTCTCCAGTGCCGCGATAGAGCGCGCCAGCCCAAAGTCGGCCACCTTCATCAGACACTCCGAGTTCAACAGCAGATTGCTCGGCTGCTCCAATGGATGTGGTCACATGGGGAATCAGTTCTCTGCAAATGAGAAGAGTGAAAAGGTGGACTCTCGGTGTTCAAGGCACCTTCATATCTCTGTGCAGGACGTCGCCAGAGTGCATGTACTTGAGGGCCTTGAGGAGTTGGTAGATGATGTACTGCTTGTGGACGTCCTCCAGTATCTTTGCTCGAATGACCTCATGCAAGTCCGTCTCTGCTCACACATCAATGAGCCAACGCCCCACAGCCAGCTCTCAAGGTGGCGCTGGCTGAGTTGAGGGGTGCCAGGGTGTAGTACCCATGTACTCGAAGACCAGGTAGATATCACGGTCATTGTCGGCTTTGATCACCTTGAGCAACTTGATGATGTTCTCGTGTCCGCCCAACTCTTGTAAGAACATGATCTCCCTGTTTGGCATCTTTGAGGCTCAACCACCTTCCAGATCTGGCCTGGACGAAGAGACAGAGAGGGGGGCTACCTGAAGGTGCGCTGAGCATCGGTGGCGTTCTGAAAGGCATCGAAGATCTTCTTGAGAGCCACGTCATTCCCGTTCTTCTTGTCGAGGGCCTTCCATACGATGCCATACGCCTATAGACCCCCCCCCCGCCCTTTAATACTATTCCCTTCGGTTTACACCGCGGAGCTCATACCCCCTTGCCAAGCTTGGTGGCGATCTCGTAGCGCTTGAGCACATGCTTGTCGATGTCGTCACTCATCTCCTTCCTCCTCCCGCGCTGAAGGATCAGACTGTGGTGGACCCACACTGCCGGTCTCACGGCAAAGAAAAAAACCCCCCAAAAAGGGTAACGGTCTCCTTTTATGGTAAAAGCGCTTTGTCTCACATGAAACGAAGAGCACTCTCATCGCCTCGAGCAGCTACCACAGAGAAAAGATGAGGGGAGAGCAACATGTTTGTTAATACGAGGGTTCAGAAAAGATAACTAAACAAGCACTGCCACCACATGGAGACTGTGCTGGCGCTGGAGAGGTTGTCATCGTCGTTCGTGGGCTGGACGAGGCGGTCGGCGCAAGGGTTGAACAGCATGGTCACGTTGCCTGCGGCGCTGTTGTCCATGAAGATCAGCCTGTGGGACACATCGCTGAGCCACAGGCGGTCCGCGCCTGGCAGGCTCGGCGAAGTGCACACCACCACGCCAGCCCCGTGCTCAGGGTTAAACGCAAACACCCGCCCCGCCTCGCCGTCGAGCACGTAGACCAGCTTCTCCGACACCGCCACATCTATGGGGTCCTCGACCGTGGTTGAGCTAGCGTTCGTGGTACCGGCCGGCAGCGACACGTTGGCGCCCTTGAGCAGGAACGGCCTCACCGCGCCGCTGACGAGGTCCACCCGCACCAAGTTGCCCGACTGCTTCAGTGTCGCATAGGCCGTGGTCCCCGACTCGTCCACCGCCACCGCACGCGTCGAAGCCACGCCCTCGAACCTTTTCAGCGTCGGCCCGCCGGCCTGGTCGAATAGCAGCAGGCCAGCACCGGAGGTGTCGGCGTCGGCGTCGGCCACCAGGACACGACCCTGGAGCGGCAGGAAGGCCAAGTCGACCGCCCGGCCAACCCCTTCGAAGCTGACGTTGGCCACCGCCCCAGTCCCGGCCTCGAGCTGCCAGACGAAGCCGCGGCCCTGGGCGTCGATGCCAACCACCACCCCGCCGATGTCGGACGAGGCCAGAACGGTGTAGTTCCGCCCGGGCAGAGTTGGCACGGCCCGACGGCTTCGCCTGATCCCCGTGGCGGCGGCGGCGGGGCTCAGACATTCTTCGGTCGACGAGATCGTGATCGCGCCGCTTCCGGGGCTCAGGCTGACCACCTGTTGCCCCTGCATCGTCGACAATTGGTCGGGCTCGTCCGTGACCCAACTGCAGAGGCGGGTCATCGACTCCTTGTTCTGGTCCACCACAATCTGGGACTGACGCGGGGGGCAGGGCATCATCTCGACCAGGTTGCCCACGGCCGGCGGCTGGTGGCTCGGGTCGACCAAGGCGCGGTAGTTCTCCATCTTGTGGTCGTAGTACATGGTCTCGTTGAACACGAACCTCGACGCAGCCTGGCGCCCAGGAAGGTCGAGCAGCGGCGCAAATGCTTCACCATGAGCCGGCGAGTAGAGCCACTGGCCGGGCTTGGTCAGCCGGCGGGTGGGCTCGCGGGCCGCGATCCACAGGACATGGCTCAGCGTACTCAGGTACTCACCGCCTGGCATGGTGGAGGGAGCTTGGCCGTCCGCATCGACCGCGCCCGGGACCCAGCGCTCGCAGGTCTGTATGGCATCGTAGACGCCGGGCAAGGAGAAGCGCGCTACTCCGTCGAAGCGGAACTGGTAGGACTTGAAGGCGCGGTTGGTGATGGAGGTCACGGTGCCTACGGGGTCGTACAGCACGCAGCCGGGGGTGGCCCAGCCGTAGCCGGCCACGCTGGCCCTGGCACCCCAGGACTCGAGCGGACTGGTGTCGGGGTGGACGAACAGTACAGTGAGCAGGGCGCTCATGGCGCCGCCCAGAGAGTGGCCCGTGATGAGTAGGCGGTAGCCGGGCCAGCGGGCCAGATTGTCCACCACCTTGGAGCCGTCCCAGTGGAAGACCCAGCTCGACCGCGCCGAGAAGCCCGAGTGGGCATAGGCCCCGCTGCCCCTCAGCATTGGCGTCGAGATGTAGGCGAAGTCGGAGGCCCAGTCCAGCGAGTCGTCGGTGCCCCTGAGGCAGAGCACCACGGCCTGCAGGCAGTGGTCCACCACCACGAAGCTCCGGAACGACAGGGGCACCACCTCGGTACTGGACCAGGGCAGGGACAAGCCCTGTTCCGGGTCATCGTAGGCCGCCAGAGCGTAGATGGCCATCCGACGCTCCTCCTCGCCCGAGCCCGGGGCGATGACGGTTCCGTTGCGGCAGAAAGAAGGCGACGGCGACGGCGACGGCGAGGGGGTTCGGCTCGGGCTGGGGCTTCTGGTAGGGGTGGCCGTGGGAGGGGCCACGTCCGAGCAGAAGGCACGCGCCCCGGCCGAGGCGCCGCTCATGGGGTTGCCCACGCACTGCCCGCGGTCGTTGGCGTACGCGAACTGGTCGATCGGCTGGCCCTGGCACTGGGCGTCGGCGCGGGCGTAGGTGGCCCACCTCACCGTCGACCCGTCGCACCGGAAGAGGTAGTTGAGCTGCAGGGCTCCTCCGAAAAGTGGGGCGGGCAGGCAGGTCCCGAGCTGCACCGACACCACCTGCTTGGGGGCTTGTTGCTGGTTGGTAGGGCAGGCGTCGGGTTCGGTGAAGGTCCAAAACGTGAGAGCGCCGGAGCGGGTGGTGATGGGTTGGTCGGCGCAGTACTCCCGGGTGCCGGTGATGGGGGCGCAAGGCGTGTCGACGCACTGGCGGTCAGAGTACTGGAGGACGATGAGCGGCTGGCTGGCGCAGGTTTGGCCGAAGGTGATGGTGTAGAGGGGTGCCGCCTGGGCAAGGCCCAGCCGCCACCACCCGGTGATCATTGCCAGCACGAACAGAACCCTGGCGCAGGAGGCTAGGGAGAACCAGGGCATGTCAAGTGAGAGGGGAAGTGGTGGAAAAAGAGAGCAGAGAAGAGAATGGTAACCAAACGACCACAGCCCGGGCTTTAACTACGTCTTCGCCAAGCTTGCAACCAACCACAGGCCATCAATTTATATAACAAGCCAATCCAATGCCTTCTTCGTTCGGCTCCCTGTCCAACCACACTCCGCTCGCATCCATGCAGCGTTTGGCAAAAGGGGACGTTGCCTTGTGGTGCCTTACAGCACGCGCGCTCGCGTAACTTGGTGGTGACGTAAATGTTTTGCCTTTTTTTGTACAGAAACCAAACAGAAAACATGAAGCTCACTTCTTTCGCGTCTTCTTCTCTTGCTTCTTGTGGGCGCCTGTCCATGGACAAAACAGAACAACATTAGTTCTACTCATGAGTCCCGCATTAGTGTGTGTCGCGTCGCGTGTCGTGTCGTGTCGTGTCGTGTGTGTCGTGCCGTACTCTTGGCAGCTCGTTTGAGGACAAAGTTGTAGGTGTCGCGTCCGCCGGCCCCTCGCACGGCAGCCGGGAGGTTGTCGAAGGGATTGCCGTCGACTTTGAGCTCGGAGAGGGAGGTCATGTTGACCATCTCGTTGGGCAGATCGTTGAGCAGGTTGTCCGTCACGACGAACAGTTCGAGCGCAGAGAGGTTGCCGATCGACTTGGGCAGCTCCACCATTTTGTTGTGCTCCAGGTGCAGCTGTACACAAGTCCCCGTCAGTACGCCGCAGACGCACACGCACACGCACCACCGCACACGCACACACGCCGGCGATACGCAGCACACACGACGCACGCGGTTGCGCACCTGTTTGATCAGGGAGATGTCTCCAATCTCGTGAGGCAGTGTGAGCAGCTCGTTGTAGCCCACGCGCAGCTCGGTGAGTCCGGTCAGCAGCGAGATCTCTCCAGGCAGCTGCGCGCGCGCAGAGAGAGAGAGAGGAGATGCCACATCGTCGTCAATATGCCAAATCACTTTGATTTCGCCACAACAGCCATAGTGAAAAGAGACTCTTCGGCGTACCCGGTCGAGTTGGTTTTCGTCCAGGTTGAGCTGCTTCAGCGTCGTGAGCGCGCCGATTTGGTTGGACAACCTCTTCATCTGCGATTGTACAATCACAGCACAGACACTCAATTTTCTAATCACGTCGTCGTGTGTCCGTGTGCTTCTGCAGTTATGTGTTCGTTACTGCACGCGTACCTGGTTGTCGGACATGTTGAGGGAGTTGAGCGCCGGAGGGAAGCACCGCGCGTCGGGGAAGGTCTGGAACTCGTTGGTGGACAGGTCGAGGTGCTTCAGGTTCACGAGCGCGCTCAGCTCCGGCGGTATCGCCTTGAGCCGGTTGCCCTTCAGGTGCAGTTCCCGAAGACCTGGACCAACAAAAAGTTGTAAACTCGTGTGTCGTGTCGTTGGTCGTGTCGTGTCTTTTACCTGTAAGCATGCCCAACTCGGCAGGGAGCGCGATGAGTTTGTTTCGACCCAGATACAGACTGCGGAGCGAGGTCATGTTGCCGATCTCAGGCGCAAGAACTGTCAATTGGTTGGCTGATGTGGCCAATCGCAAACGACGACGATGACGATGCGGGTCAGTGCGATAAGTGAGATGTGGCTCACATACTAACAGTAAGCGCAGTTGGTGTGCATACCTTCTAAGTCGAGGGTCTCAAGGCGCGGGAGCTCGGTGATGGTCACGGGGAACTCCTCCAGTTTGTTCTGCGAGACGTCGAGCCGCATGAGGTCGGTGAGCGCGCCCCAGCCGTCCGGTAGCGTAGTCAGCTTGTTCTGCTTGAGATCCTGTTCGACCACACGACCACACCACCGACACTCAGAGTCAGCACGCGAAGGTATGCAGTGTGGAATGCGCAGCAGAGAAAAGAACGAAAACGAAAGAACAAAAGAAGGAAAACGAGAGGCGCGTGTCGACGTACGAGGTCCTTCAGCTGGCACAGCTTTTCGACCGACCTGAACTTGGTGAGGTGGTTGGTGGAAATATCCAGGATCTTGAGGTTGGTGGCCATGCTGAGCTTGCGCGGCAGCTTGTGCAGCTGGTTGTTGCGCACGCTCAGCATCTCGAGCGACACGAGACAGCCGATCTCCTCGGGCAGCTGCTCGAGTCGGTTGTACCGGAGGAAGAGCTTGTTGAGGTGCACGAGGTGCTTGATCGTCGCCGGCAGCTCGGTGAGCTTGTTGTACCTCAGATCGAGCATGGTGAGCGATGTCAGCTGTCCCAGCTCGTTGGGCAGAGTCCGTAGGCTGTTTTCGTTCAACCCCAAGGCCTTCAACTTGGTCAATTTACCTGCGTTTGTGTTCCACCCGTAAGTGAAGAAGAAGAAGAAGAAGAAGAAGAAGAAGAAGAAGAAACACAAACGTGAAGAAGCAAGGGCAGCGGTACCGAGATCTGGCGGCAGGCTCTCGATTTTGTTCATGTAGAGATTGAGCACGCTGAGGTTCTTCATCTCCCACACGTTGGACGGCACCGCCGTCAGCTCCTTTCGCCTCAGATCGTAGCTCTGTAGACCACCCGCACTACCGCTTCCCGAGTCCTCCGCCATACTCGCCGCCGCTTCTGCTCACATCGCCATTCGAGTTGAGATGGTGTCGTGTTGCAATGGCGTGGTGATGATGATCATTACCTTTCTTGGCCTTCCTCCCCTTCTTCTTCTCCTCGGAGGACGTGACTTCGCCGTTGGACGCTTCGTTCTTTTCCTCTTGCGCGACGAATTCCTCGCCGTAGAAGGAGACTCCTCGGTGGGCTGTGTGTGTGTGTGTGTGGAGAGAGAGCCAGGCTTAGATCGTTTAGGTTTGTGAGGAGGTAGGGGACCACATACCTTCAATGTCCCTGTGCCTGGACGGCGTTGTCTTCTTGCCGCTGCTGGCGATGGGTATCGACGAACCCGACATGAACAGCGAGCTCGTGGGCGCGGCGCGCAACTGGCTCTCGAACGGCGACGAGGCCGGAAGCGGCAGCACCTTGTCCACCACCACGGCCGGCTCTGTGGAGAGCGTGGCCACCGAGAAGGCCGGCTCGCTCGCGCGGGGCGACATCATCGCCTGCTGCGCCTTGCTGCTGCTGCTGCTGCTGGTGGTGGTGTTGCTTTCTTTATCCTTCGCCTTGGTATCCCCGCTCCCCTTCTTCGCCTTGCGCTTGCGCTTGCCCTGGTCCTTATTGGAGTCCTTGTGGCTGTCGGTGCTGTCCTTGTCGCTGTCCGTGGCCACGTCGCTGCGGGAGTCGTCCTTATCGCTGTCGGTGTCGCGCATGATGCCCGACCCAGTGCCGTTGCGCTGGCACTCGATCCAGTACAGCACGCGCTTCCGGTGCCCAGTCTTGGCAATGCCCAGCTGCCGCATCTCGTCGTCCGTGATCAGCTTCACCGTCTCGAGGTCATCGAATCCGTCCTGTTACCGCACACCGCCGATGAGCATACGACAAGCACGACACGACACATGACACACACGACACAAGACGAAGCAGTACCGCAAGGAGGAGTTGAGCGTATTCAATGGGGAGCCGGATGGCGTGGAGCCACTTGGTGATCTCCTTCTCGCCGTCCCTTTCCTTTTCGCCCCGGGCGCTGCGGTGCGATCTCGGACCCCGCGAGTCCTTCTCCTTCGTGCTGCTGTCCTTCTCTCGCACGATCTGGCTGCCGGACTTGCCGTTGCTGCTGCTGCTGCTCGACGACGACGGCTCACGCTCCTTGCGCCTCTCGCCGCGGTCACGCTCGGTAGTCCGTCGCCGGTCGTCGTTGTCGTCGTCGGTCGTCGCACCTCCACCCTTGGACGTCTGTACGATGACGAGGCTGCTCCTGCGCTTGTCCGGGTTGCGCTGGCGAATGCTGCTGCCGCTGCTGCCACCACGCGACGCCGGTGAGCTGTCCCTGCTGCTGCTGCTCCCGTCCTTCTCCTTCTCTTTGTCCCTACTGCTGCTTCCGTCCTTCTCCTTGTCCCTGCTGCTACTGCTACTGCTGGTGGTCCCATTCTCCCGCGGCCTTCGTGAGCTGCGCTTCTCGTCGGTGGCCGTGTCGCTCTCCTCGTCGGTGCCGATGGTGAGGCCGCCCTCCTCGTCGAGCGCGGCCGACCCGCTTCTCCTGCGCATGGAGACGGAGGACCGGCGCACGGTCGGCACGTAGGGCGACGCGGGCGCGGCCCCGGAACCGACGCGCTCGCGCGTGTTGGTCTGGGGCGAAGATGGGACGGCGAGGATGGATGTAGATGCGCCAACGGGGAGGGAGAATCGCGGATTGGTAGCGAGGGTGTTGACGTTGGAGGGGTGCGGCCAAAGATCTCGGCGCACTCTTCATCTTCGAGCAATTCGAGGGGGCTTCGTCGATGGGTGTGGGCACCTGGGCGGTAGCGCTCGAAGAAGGCCGTGGCTGGCGAATCGATGGACGGCGAGAGCAGATCGGAAGCAGATCGCGTACGCACCAGCAATCGATCTTTGGGTGTAGCCGGCGAGCCGGGCGTGCCGGTTCTGCTTCGGAAGGCGATCGTAGCTCTCGATGATGGTGAAAATCGCGAGGGCGATGAAGACGTAGCGCCGATCCTCCTCTCGCGGATAACATCAGCTGTCGAAGGGAGGATGAAGAGAGCCGCAGAAGGAGAGATGAGATCGGGATTGGAGTCCAAGGTCTGAGCAGGACCCGAAGGAGGGCGCATTATCGATGAATCGGTGGATACAGCCATGAGGTCCGTGATGACCTCATCAGCCGTGCTGCCGTTGGGGATCGCCACAACGCGAGCATCCTCGCCACCAGAGCTGCGCTGCTGCTGCTGAAGTTGGGGTTTGTCGAGAACGCTGCCCTGCGCTACCTCCTTTGATCTGCGGCTTTCCTTCGAATTTGCGAAGTCGCTGTCATCTCTGCCCTTCCTCGCGCTGTTGATGAGTGCCGCTGCCGCTGAAGCTGATGAAGAGGAGGATGAGTTCGGCGTCGTGCTGCCTTCATCTTTCGAACGCTGCCGTCGTGAGCCAGTGATGTTCCTCTCCTTCTCCTCCCTCTCGCGCCTTTCCCGCTCCTCGCGCTCCTTCTTCTCCTTCTCCTCCTTGAACTTGCGATCGCGCTCCTCCTTAGGCCTTCGCCTTCCTCTCCTCCCGCTCCTCCCTCTCCGCCTTCTCCTTCTCCTCCCGCTCCTTCCGCTCGCGCTCCTCCCTCTCCCTCTTCTCCCGCCGCTCCCGCGCCTCCTTGTCCCGCCGCTCCTCTCGCTCGCGTCGCTCCCTCTTCTCCCGCTCCTCCCTGTCCCGCTCTCGTCGCTGCTTGTCATCAGCAGCAGAAGAAGAAGTGGCATCGCCGCCGCTGTTGTTGCCGACAGCCGTGAAGCTGCTGGAGCTGTTGTTGTTATGGCTGTTGTTGGTGTTGTTTTGGTTGTGGACGGTCGGGATTGCGCTGCCGCTGAGGGTGTGGGTGGCGTTCATGGACCGCACGGCACCAGGCGAGACCGGCGCGATGGAGCTGCCAGGTCGGCTTGGCTGGTTAAGTCGGCTGCTTGTGTCCTGTGCGCGATCACGGTGAGTACAATGGCTGTTTGTGTGTCACAGAATCGCACATGCACTCACCGCACGCGCACTTGCACGCGGCAGGAAGGTGCACTAGAGAGTGTGGGAGAGGTGGTACGGTTTTTGAGGTGGTGCGGATGAGCTGGTTGCCGGTGGGCCTGGGCTGGGCGGCCTTCTCCAGCGCAACGATCCATTCGGTGAGGAGGCGCTCTCCCTTGGCCAAGATGAAGTACTCCTTTTCGCCGGTTGAGACTTGGATGCACCCCACCTTCTTGCCCTCTTCCAGCCCGGTACGCTTGAGCTTGGCGCCTTCGAGATTGATCATCCCCAACGGTTCATTGGCAGCCTTTCGAGATTGATGTATTAAGTCATGAGAATGGTGACGAAGGTGACAAAGATCAAAGATCTTGATTGGGGGGGTTGGGAGCTAGAGGAGGTTGTACCTGTTCGTTCTTCTGGTAGGAGATTACGCCCGGGCGCAGCACCCACCACCACTCGCGCCACTCGCCAGACTTCTTGCTCTTGCGAGAGAGCCAGCCTGTCTTGAGGATCTCCCCGAACATCAGCTTGCGCTGTGTCACCAGGGCCTGTTGGCTGGGCCTGGGGGCGTCCTTCTTCTCGCCATCCTCCTTTTCCTGCTCATCATTGTACCACACAACATGTCAGCACCACTCCACCTCGTAACCATTAACAAAGTTGAGGGGATGGGGCTCACCATCATCGACGATCCTTCTGCTTTGACCTTCACTCTCTCTCACGTCCGCTTCAACAAAGGCCCACAAGCTCAAGCAAACACTTTTTTCCTGTTGTCTCTCCTCCTTCTTCCCTCCAAGTCCAAGCGTAGCAAAGGGGGCGAGGTACGAACGACACGTTCAAATGCCGAACCTGGACCTTTCCATAACTGTACACCTCGCACAGGTCGCAACGGCCTCGCAGTAACGGCTACGGGCCGAAAGATGCTCACTGGACGAAAACAAGAATCGCATTTCCTTATCTGGGCCTTCACCCAAATTGGTATAAAAGAAATGAAAAGAAAAATATTTTTTTGTAATCGAAATTTCAGTTAAGAACATGCTACGATTTGTCCGTTTTTCGATGATATTGCAGCGGCTGAGGCACCAGCTCTGTTGGCCAGCCTTGCCCTCATTTCGTACATCACAACAGGAGACAACAACTGCTAAAATGGAGGGCAATACGTCGTTGAAGAGGAAGGAGGGACATGAAGCAGATGCGGCCAAGGCTCAGGGCACGCCAGCCACGTCCGCGGCTTCCGAACAACCACCCAAGCACAAGAAGGCCAGAACCGAAGAAGAGAACACGGAACGAGGCGACGAACCGTCTGAACAAGTACGCCTCCACCAGGTATGTTGTTTGTTTAAAACAATTTTTCAGTAATCAGCTCCTCCTTTAAAGGCGCTGGTGGGTGAGCTGAAGGAAGCGCTCGCCAAAGGAACCGCGCAAGACGTCATCTACTGGATGAAGGTACTTCTTACCCCTTTGGTTCTTCTTCATCTCTTTACCGTTATCTTCTGTGTAGTGTGTTGGCTCACCTGCGCTCTTGTGGCCAGGACGGAACGATCATCCAACTCCTCGCCACCGACTCCTTCTACGTCGCCCTGGCGGTACTTTCTACCCCTTTTCTTTTTGGCTGTTTACGTTGTTGTTGAAGAAGAAGAAGAAGAAGAGATGTGAGAGTGAACCTCACCACCCGCTACTTGCTGGCTTGGTTGGTTGGTTGTGATTGGCAGACGTTGGTGGACGCCAAGATCAGGGCGGCGCCCATCTACGACCCGGCCGAGCAGAAGTACGTCGGGTTCGTCGACATGCTGGACCTCACCGCCGCCATCGTCGAGTTGCTCGAGGTCAACGAGACCTTCAAGAACAAGAAGAACAAGAAGGAGAAGAAGGAGAAGGAGACGAAGCAGGAAGAGGAGGAGTCGGAGGAGGTGAAGAGGAGGAAGCGCGACTATGCGGAGGACGAGGAGGACCCCTTCGCTGAACATCTGATGCTCGAGAGCCTCTCCGTCAAAGCCATCTCCGGTGCAGTTCTTTATGTCCGACACCTTGTGATGTCCGATCAGCAGTGTCGCTGATTGGTGCGTGACTGACCACTGCTGACTGGATGGGTGGTAACGACCAACAGACTTTTCGCACACGGACCCGTTCATTTCGGTGCGCAGCGACGAGAGCCTCACCAAGGTGGCCGAGCTGCTGCGGACCCACCACCGCATCGGCGTCGTCAACGAGAAGGGCACCTTCATCGGTACCGCCGCTGTAACTCGCCACTATTCACCTCACTCCCTCTGACACACGACACACACACGACACGCACGACACACACACTCGACACGCACACGCACACACGACACACAAAGGATTGGTGACGCAGACAGGGTTCGTGGAGTACTTGAGCGAGGAGCACGCGCTGACGCTGGACAAGACGGGATTGACGGTGGGCGATCTGGGCCTGGCCAGGCACCACGTCCACACGGTGCCGGTCGAGGGCACCACCGCGCTCGACGCGCTCAAGGAGATGCGCGACCGGAAGGTCACCGGCCTGGGCGTCGTCAACAAGAACGGCGTTCTGCTCGACGTCATCTCCGCCAGCGACCTCATGGTACGCACTCGTCATCATCCTCGCGCATGGCCGCACGACACGACACGCACTCAGCGCACACGCATGTTATCGTGGTGGTGGTGGCAGGTGTGGGCCGAGTGGGAGGCCTGCGGCCAGCCGATCCGGTTCCGGCACCTCTCGACGCTCAACTACCCCATCACCGAATTCCTCGCCCAGAGCCGAGCACAGGCACACCACAAGGTATCGGGTGTCGTGTGGTGTCATTATGGCCTCGTGCGGTCGAATCTAACACGCACACGCGCGATCGATCAGAAGGTGAACCGCAATGAAGGCCCGATGGTGTGCACGTCCGAGACGGAGCTGCAGGAGGCGATCGGCACGATGCTGGTCAACAACATCCACCGCCTGTTCGTCGTGGACGAGGCGCGCAAGCCCGTCTCGGTCCTCACCTACGGCGACATCATCGCCCGCCTCACCGCCTAACTCCACCGTGTGCCATCGTCATCAACACCACCACCATCATCATCAACAAAGTGTGAGTTATGTGAAATATGCTCTATTCTTGTGTGTTGTGCAACACGCGCGCGTGTTGCGCGTGTGCGTGTGGTGCGTGGGAATTATGACGCGGGGAGCGGGGAGGGAGAGGGGCAGCCGCTGGTGGCGGAGCGAATGGAGACGCCCTGGGCCTGCGCGGCGCATTGGTTACCGTAGGTCTCGCCATCGCACCCGCACACCGGTCGCAGCTCCAGCGTGCAAAACTGTGGCCGGCCACAGTTCAAGTTAGCCACCGTGTGCGGTTCGTGCGGTGCTGGTGTGGTGTGCGTACCTGAGGAGTGTCGACGCACACCCCAGGACCGCCGCACTCGCCGTCGCGGAACTGACAGTATTGGTTGGCCGCGGCGCAGTCGGAGTCGCGGTCGCACGAGCCCGCGCCCACCCCGGGGTCTGGGCCGCACGAGCCCAGGGCCTGCAGCGAGGCGCCGGCGGCCGAGGCCAGGCACAGGTTGTCGTAGGTCACGTTGTCGCAGCCGCACACGGGGTTCAAGAGGCGCGTGCACGCCTGCGTAGCGCGGAACGAAGGCGCAGGCGAGGCGGAAGAAGAAGAAGAAGCATAGACGAAAAAGGGCATTGTCATTCCAGGTGGCTACGCTCGTCACGTCGTGTGTCGTACACACGCACACGCACACACACACGACACACACGCGCGTACGCGTACGCACCTGGGGGATGCTGGCGCACTGACCAACGCCGCCGCACTCGCCGGGCAGGAAGTGACAGTACTCGCCGACCGCCGCGCAGTCCGAGCTATTCGTGCAACTCACCGCCGCTTGGCAGGGGCTGGTGGGGTCGAGGATGGACGCCCCGCTGGCCTGGGCGAAGCACAGGTTGTCGTAGGTGGTGTTGTCACAGCCGCACACGGGGCTCATCTCCGCCGTGCACACCTGCAGCCGCGTGTGTCGCGTGAGAGTGCCGTGTGCCGTGTGTCGTGTGTGTCGTGTGTGTCGTGTGTTGTGTGTGTCGTACGTCGGGCGCGTTGATGCACGAGCCGATGCCGCCGCACGTGCTGGGGTCGAAGCGACAAAACTGGCCGAAGGCGCACTCTGTGTCGTTCATGCACGGCAGAAAACCTGCAGACAAAAAGGCGTGGGTTAATGAATTTCTCTCAGATATTTATATTTAATTTAGTTTCGATCGAACGAGCGTAAGGTGGCAGTTTGGGGGGGGGCTACCCTCGCAAGCGCCCAGCGAGTCGATGGACACGCCGGCCGATGAGGCGATGCACGGGTTGTCGTATGTTTTGTTGTTGCAGCCGCACACGGGATTCAGCTCTAGCGTACATGTCTGGTTGCGTGTCGTGTCGTGTCGTGTGTGTCGTGTCGTGTCGTGTGTCGTGAGATACGATCGTCGGTCGCGTGATTGGGTGGTGTGGTACCTTGGGGACATTGATGCAGGTACCGACGCCGCCGCACATGCCCGGCTCGTAGCGGCAGTACTGATCGGCACTGCACTGCGAATTGTTACGGCACGCAAACGCGTTCTCGACTGCCGCCCATGTCGTGTGTTGCGTGTGTCGCGTCAGTTCACCTTCACGACACACGACACACGACACACGACACACGACACACACCTTGGCATTCGCCAAAGGAGCGAATCGAGACGCCACTGGAGAAGGCGAGGCACGGGTTGCTGTAGGTTTGGTCGTTGCACCCGCACACCGAGTTGAGCTCGAGCGTGCACATCTGTGCGAACCGTTTTACCATCAACACAACCGCACACGACACACGACACGACACGCACACGACACGACACACGGCGTACATCGGGTATGCGTGAACACAGGCCCACGCCGCCGCACCGCTCGGCGGGAAAGCGGCAATGGAACCCGGCTGCGCAATCGCTGTCGGCGCTGCACTTGAGCGTATCTGGATTACGACCGCGCGAGTTGTGAGTGCCGCGTGTCGTGTGTCGCGTGTGTCGCGTGTGTCGCGTGTGTCGCGTGTGTCGTGTGTCGCGTGTGTCGCGTGTGTCGCGCGGTGAGCAAGGGAGGCAAAGGTACCGTTGCAGGCTTTGAAGGCGAAGGTGGCCTGTCCCGCCGCAGCGGCCGAGCACGGGTTGGCGTAGGTCATGAAATCGCAGCCGCAGACCGGCCTGAACTCGAGCGTGCACGCCTGCGGCACCCTTTCACACACTCCCTTTCCCTGTGTGTCGCATCGTGCGTGTCGCATCGTGCGTGTCGTGTCGTGCGGTGTGTTGTGCGTGTGCGGCCAGGGTCAACACGAGTCAAAGGCCGGCGCGCTTGTCAGGCCGCGTCAACCGCGGCTTCCGTGGACCAGCGCGGAAGAGGCGTAGGAAGAAGCAGAGAAAGCTGGGGGGGGTTTGGTACCCCGCAGAGGAGGTTGGGGAAGGCGCAGAAGAGGCCGGCGCTCTGCTGGCACGGCTGGTCGAGCGAGCACACGGCCCCGCACGTGCCCGGCAGGGGCGACGCCGGGGGACTCGGCCGCGTGGTGGTCGTCGCTGGAGGGGTCGTAGTGGTGACCTGACCCGCGCACCCGCCCGGCGCCAGCAGGCAGCAGCCCACCACCACCACCATCGCAAGTTGCAGAAGTCGATGCATTGTCTTGAGTCGTTTGTGTGTGTGTGTGGTGTTGATGTTGTTGACGTTGGGGCTCGAAGGTTGTTGGTTGTGTGTACAAAGATGATGATGATGCTGAGGTTGGGGGTGGTGGACGTGACGCCCTCTATTTATGTCCTATGGGATATGGAGCGTGCGTTGATACTGGGGGGTGCCAACCAGTAGGGATGTGGCGGACAAGGCCCTGAAACTTCGAGTCTATCATCACGCCACCCATTCCAGTTGAGATGTGTGACAGACATAGGACTGTGGAATGGACCCTTGCTAGTGGTCAATGCAGTCAGTAATAATTTGATCCTGGCCGATCTGCTTTTACCTCACTTATGTTCTTTATATTTATTGATCGTAATATTTATTTTAATTATTCTTTATATTTATATTTTATTCATTTTTATTTTTTGTTATTTATGAGTTCATGTATTGTTTTTTTTGTATTTTTGTGATAAATAAAGGAAGGTAACAGAGAAGAGGAAAGAGAGGAGAAGAGGAGAGGTGGGGACCGGGCTGTCGAGGAAGAGAGGGCCTAGAGGAATTTCTTGTTGGCATCGTCCTTGGCCTTCTTCCACATGATGAAGGCCACGCCGAAGCACACCTGACAGGCGAAGGAGATGACGATGATAAAGAGGAAAAGGGTGAGCAAGAAGAGGAGAAGGTGCACGCGCAAGAGGCAGGCAGGCGGTACCTGGAAGAAGCAAAAATAGATCCACCACGCGACGGAGCCGCTCTTCTCCACGACGCTCTTGAGCTCCTCCTTGCCGCTCTTGAGCTCCTGGAGAGCGTTGTTCTGGTCTCGGTCGCCCCTCTGCATCGTTTGTTTGAACTCGTTCAGCAAGCGCTCCGCACGCAACACGACACACACAGACACACACGACACACACACGACACACGACACACACGACACATGTGATAAGGTATGGGTGCGGACCTCGACAAGAGTCTGGACGGAGGTAACGTGCTGCTGGAGTTCGCGGATGAGGCGGGCCACGTTGTTGTAGGTGTTGCCCTGCTCGGCCGAGACGTGGCCCTTGAGGTCGCCGACCAGCTTGTTCACGGCGGACAGCTCCTCCATCACGACGCGGCGGAATTCGTTCACTGAGTCCTGGAGCACTCGCACCTCGCGGAGGGCGCCTTTGATCTCTTGGGTCAGGTCGTTGTTGTCCGCGGGCTGGCGCATGTCGTTGACCTGCGACAGCACCTGGGAGAGGCTGTGGGCGAGGCTGTCCTGCTGGTTCCTCACAGCCTCCACCTTGAAGGTCAGCTGATCCAGCTTGCTGGTGAGCTTGTTGGTGTCCTCCTGCGATCGCGGCTGTTGTTGTTGCTGCTGCTGCTGCTGCTCGTGCTGCTGCTGTTGCTGTTGCACAGGGCTGGGTTCCTGTTGGTTGCTCTGTTGTTGTTCGGTGTAAGCAGGTTGAGGTTCATCATGACGCTGCTCCTGATTGTGATGAGCTTCCTGAGACTCCTGATGTACCTGTTGCGGAAGATAAGGGTTAGGGGGATCCTTGGGAAGATAAGGGTTGGGCTTAACGGGCTCGGTCGACTGGACGGTCTCCACGTGCTCGGGCTCCGGCTCAATTTCCTGGTAGCACGCCAACAGTCAGCTCGGCTAGAACCACACACACACAGACCACACGACACACACGAACACACGCGACACACACGAACACACACGACACGACACGACACGACACGACCAACGACACGACCAACGACACGACCAACGACACGACCAACGACACGACACGACCAACGACACGACACGACCAACGACACGACACACACGGGAAGACGACACACGACACGACAACGTGACGGCTTGTGTGTGTACCTGCTGCCTTGGAGGAACGGGAGGGCGACGGCGCCACGGGTCGAGGTTGTAGGTGATGAACGAAAAGACATCGTGGTTATCGGTGAGGTGTCCAGTGGCCGCACTCAAACCAAAGTAGTAGCCCTTGGGCAGCGACTCGTGATGAGTGATGCAGGGCACCCAGTGGCCAGCTCCATCTAAATAATGACACACACGCCACACGCCACACACACACGCCACACACACGTGACGCACAACACATACACGGCGTTGGTGATGCGAGAGCAGGAGCGCATTCGCGCAAAAGAGATACACTTACCGTCGGTCTCCACCTGGATGACTCCGTCGCGATAGATCACGCGCATCTTGGACCTTGTTTCGCGGTTGAGGTTACTGCAGGAGGCCTTCTCGCCGCGCCTGCCGTCATCGAAGGGATCGTAACGCTGCGTGCCATCGTTGATCCAAAGAGAGATCCTGGGCTCGTCGTTCTAGTGGCAGCGAGTGCACAGCAAGGCGCAAACATAGGTAAGTTCATCACCGCCCATGTCACAAACAAATAGCACTTTTGTGGTGCGTGTGCGCGTGCGGTGATGTGTGGCCACAACGAGACGGGCGCAAAACTGTACCTGGCCGTCGTTGTCAAAGGTGTCGAAGTAGACGGCCATGCCGCGGTACTCCTCCGCGCTGCCCATGCTGATGCCCTCCTTCTTGGGCTCAGCCACATACCAGAGAGCCATGCCGTCGGCGCCTCGGCTGCCGCCACCGCCGATCTCAAAGTCCATTTGAACTTCCCACGCGTCCATGTCGGCCGCCTGTCGGGAAGCGTGGAGATGAACCACACAACGAGATGGGGAAGGTGCAAGATTGAGCGAAGGGAAACACACGGCAGATTAAATGAAAGCACTAAGGAGCAATTGGGAAAGTGAATGGAGCGTGAGCAACAAGCGTACCACAGAGTTCCAGACCCAGCCCACACGGCTCTGGAGAGCGGGGGTCAGGCGAATCCTATCCTCAGACACGATGGCGCTACCACCGAACTCCCAGAAAGGCAGGGTGCCCCCCCTTCCTACAAAAGAGAGATTATTATACGAACAGTTAGAATTTGACACTGTTGGGCCAGGGTGCCAAAATCTTTGCAATCGAGTAGCCACTTTAGGAAGAAACGGATTTGAACTCAGCTTCAAGTCAACGAATGCGGTGGCACTGGATGAAGATCAACGTACCGAGGTAGAAGGGGGCACGGAAAGAGTGCTTGAACTCATATCTCTGTGTCTGCGTCAAGGCCAGCGCAAACAGAGAGAAGAGGAGGAGAATCAAGATCCGCATTGGCGCAGCGTGTCCCATCTCGGCGGCGATAGATGAAGGAGAGGAGGGGGAGGGGATGGAGCGAGCCAAGGAAATGGGAACAATCGATCTCAAGATCCCTCACCACGCCACGTCTAAGTGCCAACAGCACACAGCGCCATTGCGTCGACTTGCCACCTCAGCAGTCAAGCATTCCGCACATTCTTTTCCACACTCACGAAATTTCGAGCAACGTGTGCGCACCACAAGGAACACAAGACACGCACACAAGTGGAGAAGCGAAGTCAAGACGAAAGCAAAAATGATGTATCAGTTGCTCGCGGTGAGGTGGAGTGAACGAGGGAGTAGAAAAGGGTGAGGAATAAATAATTACAACCGGTCTAGCTGCGCTTGCTCGTTCATCGATTGCAGTCTGTCGGCGTAGATCTCGGCCAGCGCCTGCTGCACCAGCACCAGCGTTTCCTCTACTCGCGCACGCCGCACACGCCGCACACACATGTTCGGTTAGTCAATGACCCGACCCGACCCGCCCGTGGGTTGTGAGCGCAGTCAAGACTGGACTTACCGGCCCAGGACAGCGTCTCTCGCAGGCTCTGAGCCGTGTGCTGGTTTTGCTTCTCCAGTTCCTGTAGGCGCTTGAGCTGCTCGGGCTTGGTCGAGTTGATCCCCGGCAGCGAGTCGATCAGCATGTCCACCTCTACATGGGTGTAAAGGAGCACCACCAACTTGCAAGTGAGTCTCTTGATGGACATGTCCCGCACACACAGCCTCTTGCGCACAACGGTGCAAGTAGTACCTTTCACGTTGTTGAGCAGGAGAGCAGCCATGTTGGCGGCTTCGCCCTCCATGACCTCCATCGTCGGGCCGGTGGGGACTGGCGCGGCGGGCTCGGGCATGGGCATCGAGGGAAGGACGGGCAGGACCGGTCCCCCGTCTGCCACGGCGGCGTTGGCACCGTTGGCCACGGTTTTGGGACCGTCCGCTGTTCGATTGAGATGTTTGAACTCATCAAAGGGCAAGGGCGGCGCATCTTGCTGCAGTACGCCGATGAATGTGTAGAATTTCTCGCCAAGCCCATCGATTTTGTCCTGCAGCTGCGTCACCCGATCGGTGACCGCCTCCACCGGCACTTGCGGTGGTGGTGCCTGGGTACCCTGTTGGACAGCTCCCTCTGGTCGTGGCTCCATTCGTTTTGTGCTTATATTTTTAGTAAATAAATTTCATTTTTTTGGCCTTCGTGACACGTCACGCCTTGCGAGATTGACCAATCTGCATTCTACACAAGATGAAGAAGGTAAACAGCGCCTGCGATCTCTGACGTCCTTACTGCCTCACCTCGGGCTAACGTCTGTGATGGTGCTTGTGCATAGGCGGCGAGGTGGTTTTCGTTGCTGATTATTGCCCTCAGCGCATGGGCTGCTCTTCTCTTCGACTACTATCCCCTTCATCTTAAGGGCAACGCACAACTCGCCCTCCAATTCGTACGTTCCCTTCCCAGTTCTGTTCTGCCATCCCTCCCTATCAAATTGACTCGTAAATTGGTGCAGGCCCCCTTCCTCGCGCTTGTCGCGTTTGGCGTGTACTCGCTTGTGCGAATTCTCTACAACCTGGCCATCTTCCCCGTCTGCCCCGAAGCGCTGACCGAGATGAGGAAGGAGATGAAGGAGGCCGAAGCCGATCTGAAGAAGAAGGGCTTCAAGTTCCCCAACAAGAAGACCGATTAAGCCAAGTGCCACCGCCCACACCCACGCCACCACACCACACTCTCACATCCCGATCGTCCTAGTTGCGATTAGCTGTTCCATTTCGATACACGAAATAAAACCAAACCAATCAAATCCAATATTCTTTTGTATTTTTTATTCCACAGCATGGACAACGAAGCCACCACGACCTGCAGCCACAAGCTGCGTGAAGCGTGCCTGACCATTCCCAAGGCAGAACTACACCTCCACATCGAGGTTCCATCTCACTCTCGCCTCCTCACACTTGCACCTTGCCCCCCCCCCGCCAGCTCATCTGTGCTGTCTGTGCACCCACAGGGCACGCTTGAGCCAGAGCTCATGTTCGCGCTGGCCAAGCGCAACGGGGTGGAGCTGGACTACGCCTCCCTCGAGGAGGCCCACCAGGCGCGTGAGCACTTCACCAGCCTGTCCTCCTTCCTCGACCTCTACTACCAAGGTACGAGGTCGCCCTGCTCCTGTGGGTGTTGCGTGCCATGTGCGGTGGCGTATGTTGTGTGCTGTGTTGTGTGTTGTAGAGTGCATGTGCGGTGGTGCGTATTTCGTGTGCAGCGCGCGTGCTGATCGCAGATCGCAGGAGCCAAGGTGCTGCAGAAGGAGGAGGACTTCTATGACCTAACGAGAGCCTACTTGACCAAGAGCAAGAAGCAGGGCCTCGTCCATGCCGAAATCTTCGTCGACCCGCAGACTCACACCCTTCGCGGCATCTCGTGCGCCACCGTCTTCAACGGTGCGTACCTCGACCACACTGCCTAGCGTGTGTTGGCGCCGTGTGTCGTGTGTCGTGTGTCGTGAGGCGTGTGTCGTGATGAGGCGTGTGGCGTGTGTCGTGTTGCATGTGCCGTGCGCCGATGACTCGACGACATTGGTTGCAGGTATCCGTCGCGCATTCGAGGAGGAGAAGGATGTGACGTGCTTCCTCATCGTGTGCTTCCTCCGCGACCGCAGCGCCGACGAGGCCGCTCAAGTCCTCGATGATATACTTCCCTATGTCAAGTACAGCCTCCACACCGCACGCACACACCGCACGCCCCACATGAACTGGACGCTCTCACAGGGAAGGACTCGTGCGCGGCGTGGGCCTGGACTCAGCCGAGGTGGGCAACCTGCCCAGCAAGTTCACCCGAGTCTTTGCGCGCGCTCGCGAGCTGGGCCTCCACCGGGTGGCTCACGCCGGTACGTACTCTTTCACGCGACGAGGCCGATGGGCGCAGCGGCGGAATGTCTGGCATGCACGGGCTCGCGCTGACTGTAGGGTGGATGGTTGCAGGCGAGGAAGGCTCGGCCGCTTATGTGTGGGAAGCACTGAAGGAGTTGGGCGCGGTAACACTGCTGCCCTTCTTTCGTGTGGCTCAACCACTCTCAACTGACACACGACACGACACGACCAACGACACGACACGACGCGCAGGAGCGAATCGATCATGGCGTGAGGTGCATGGAGGATCCCGCGCTCGTGGAGCACCTGCGCACTCACCGTATCCCTTTGACCGTGTGCCCGTCGAGCAATGTGCGACTGCGCGTCTTTCCCACGCTCGCCGAGTCCAACATCGGCGCCATCATCAAGGCCGGCCTCACCGTACACATCAACCCATCGCCGATACGACAACTATTTTCTGATACACGCCACACACAACACACAACACACAACACACAACACACACACACACAACACGACACACACACACACGCCACACACACACGCCACACACACACGCCACCACATGGCGCAGGTGACGCTGAACTCGGACGATCCGGCATACTTTGGCGGGAGCTATGTGGGCGACAACTACGCGCAGGTGGCGGAGACGTTCGGCTTGTCCCTCGGCGACGTCGAGACCCTCGCGCGCAACTCGATCGAGGCCTCCTTCCTCTCCGACAGCGAGCGCCAGCGCCACCTCGCCCTCATCAACGCCTGGAAGCTGTCTCTCTCCTAAACATTGTTTATATTTATTGACAATTCAGTAATAAAATAATGAAAATAATGAAATAATCAATACAAATCACAAATAAATACAAATAAAAAATAAATCGTGGCGGGTAAAAAGGGGGAATTGTGGGAAATCGGTTTGCGCGGTGACTTTCTCGTTCTCGGGTTGCGAAGGCGACAAGGAGTGGTCTTCGCTTCTACGCGATTCTCAATTCGATTCGATTCGTTCTGCCTCTGCCCGGCCCCCAGCCGTTGAATTGAATCCTCGTTTGCCGTACCGTAGGATGGACGTAGCGACAAGACGTGGCTGGCTGGTCTTGGTGGCGTTGGTGCTTGCCATCTTCGCATCGACCCTCCCCCCGGCGCAAGGTTTGCAGCCAATTCCATCCTTTTCTGATCCCCTTTCTCAAGCCTCTACTCTATTGATACCTCGCCTCGAGAAAAGATCAACCAAATCGATAGAAATTGGGATTCAGATTTCTACGTTTCTCAAATTTTTGTAATCTCGCAGCTAACCGGCCCCCACGCCATTTATCAGCCCTGGAGACATTCAAATGCCGCGTCCCGCGCGTACTCGTCACCACCGAGAGCGGCGGAAGCGGTCTGTCGGCGAGCGAGGTCGAGGTGCTCATCGGCAAGAACCCCAATTTCGTTGATCCCTCCTCCACCCACTGGACCTGCACCGACGGCATCGCCGGCGGCGAAGCCCTCTCCACCCCCGGTACCCTCACCCTTCATCTTTCTCCATCTTCTTCATCTTCTTGCTTGGCACTGACCGTGTGTCGTGTCGTGTCGTGTCGTGTCGTGTCGTGTCGTGTCCGTCGCGTCAGGTGGTGACTCGGGCGAGTTCTTGATGGGTCTCGCGCTGTACGCGGCAGAGATGAAGAAGTTCTACCCCGACTACGAGCTCTCCAAACACGAGGTGCACGAGATGTTCAAGGAATTCCTCGGCAGCATCGACGAGTCCCGGTCCTTCTACATGCACATGGACGCGGTACATACGACATCCATGACACGCACGCGGCACGCGGCACGCGGCACATGACGTGTTCTGATTGCGTGTCGTGTGTCGTGTGCGAAATGCAGAACGTGTACAAGCTCCTGCAGGAGAAGTTGGTGCCGATTCTGGGCACCAACCCCAACATCTACTACGTACCCGAGACCAAGCAGGAGCAGGTGCTGAAGTACCTGACCGACCCCGACTACGTGGGCTGCTCCCACCTCCACGCCATCATGATGTTCCCCGCCAAATACAGCGTACCGCACGCCCCCTTCTCGCACACGCACCACCGCACACACGCACCACCGCACACACGCACCACCGCACACACGCACCACCGCACACACGCACCACCGCACGCGATGTCAGTGCTGACGGGTCACGACTGCTATTAGATTCCGCGCGACACTGTGACGTACTTCCTGTCGTCGTTCTACGAGTACATGTGGAACCACGAGTCCAGCGACAAGCTCGTGCTGGCCATCACCGACGCCGTGCCCATCGATGGCTCCCGCACCGAGATGGCCTACATCAAGCTCGGCGCCGAACAGTCTGCGCTCGATCTCGCCGACCAGGTACCTACTCGTGTGTGCGTGTGTGCGTGGCGTGTGTGTGCGTGTGTGTGTGTGTGCGTGCGTGCGGTGGCTCACAGTCTTCCCTGGCCCGTCCACCAGTGCAAGAACATGGCGCCGGTGGTCTCAGCCAAGACGGCCAAGGGCAGCGTGTTCCTGGCTCAGCCGCAGTTCGTCGGAGGCGTTCGGGATTCGATCGTTTTCTTCTTCTCGCGCAAGCTCCAGTCGGTAGGCCTCCCCTCCCCTTTCCCTTCGCTTTCTCTCTTTTCTCTTTTCGCCTTTTATCGCACGAGGTGCACGTGCAATCACTCACCACCACCACCACGCGTGTATGTGCGTCCTGGCGCTGCTCAGTTGATCGGTGAGCAGGACGTCAGCGAGGTCAACATCGTGGAGCAGATGGCCGAACTCGCCGCGACCCATCTTCAGCTCTCCATCACGTACGCTCCACGCCTACGCCTCTCTGTGCCGTGTGTGTGTTTTGTGCGTGTGCCGTGTCTCGTTGTGTCTGACCCTCTCTGTCCACTTCAGCAATTTGGCCAAGGGCAAGCCCGTGTACAAGGTCACCATGCTGTTGGACAACACATCGAGTCTGCTGCGCCTGATCATCGCATCCGTCGTCTCCATCCTCCTCTTCATCCTGCTCTTTGCCTCCATCACCTACATCAAATTTGTACGCTCCCCTCCCATCCCACCAACTCTGTGGTAAGCTTGCTTACCAATCTTCATCTTCATCTTCATCTTCTTCATCTGCGTGCCAACAGCGTCAGCTCATTCACGAAGATGACGAGCACGAAGTGTAATAGCAACCACCCCCATTTTTCCCTCTTCTTCTTCTTCATCTTCATCTCTTCCGTCATCTTTGGCCTTCTCCATAGAGCCTTGTAAAAACACATAACATAGACCACCACGCATCAACCGGTGTAGGCTACATAAATAATAACAATCAAAACAAACATGTCTGTGTTCTATGGCTGGTCCTCCCCGGCGTTGAGCTGCTTCGTCTTGCGACGGAGCTTCTTCTTCGTCTTCCTGGCGTTGACGAAGCGCATCATGGCGGCCAGGTCCTCCTTGAACCGTCGCAGCTCGGCGTCCATGGCCTCCGCCACCCTTCGCAGCTCGCCCTCCCGCGCGTCCGCCTCCCGCTCTCGCCGCTCGGCCGCCGCGGCCGCCTCCGCTGCCTCGCCCGCGTCCGCCCGCGGCCTCGCGGCCTCCTCGAGCTCGCCGGCCAGCACTTCGCGCTCGCGCTCAAGGCGCTCCACTTCGTGTCGGGCGTGATCCAGGTTCTTCTGGAGCATCCAGTTGCGCCGCTTGAGCCGGGTGGCGTGGGCACGATCGTCGTCGACGTCGCGCGTGAGCGCCGCGATCCCGCGTTGGAGCGCGGTGAGGTCCGCTAGGCTCTGCTCTCGGAAGTGGTCGAACTCGCGCTGCGCCCGCCTTCGCTGCCGTCGCTCGCGTCGCACCAGCTCGCGGCCCTCCGGCGTCAGCCCCGCCCTCTCCCACTCCTCCTCCTCCTCTTCGTTGTCGTCATCATTTTCATCAGCCGCCACACCATTGACGCCGATCGCCGCCGCAGCCGCACCATCACCATCGTCATCGGTGGCTTCGAAGTTCCACGCGCTGGCCAGCGCACTAATGTCCTCCTCCTCGGGGCTGTCGCCATCGCCGTCAACTTTGTCGTTCCCATTGGCCTCAGGCTCGACGTGGTGCCCATTCTCCACCACCTGACGGTCGTCGTCGTAGTCGACATCGGCGGTGTTGTCGACATCATTGACGGCGGCGACGGCGGCGGTGGCGGTGGCGGGCTGTAGCTCGGCGAGGAGGGCGGCGCGCTGGGCTTCGGATTGGGCCAGGCGCTGCTCGAGATCGGCCACGCGTCGCTCCCATTCGGCCACGCGGCGGTTGACCTCGGTCCACTCCCGCTCGAGCGCCTGCGCATAGTTGCCCTCCATCTCGCGCTGCCACTCGGCCCTCGACGCCTCCACCCGCAGCACCTCTGCCCGCAGGGCCTTCACCTCCTCCTCGGCCGCAGCCGCCCTCTTCTCCGCTTCGTTCTTCGCCTCCTCTTCGTTCTCTGCTTCGTTCTTCGCCTCCTCTTCGTTTGCTTCGTTCTCTGTCGCGTTCTCCGCCTCCTCCTTCGTGTCGTTTTCATTTTCGTCTTCGTTCTTCGAGTCTTCTTCGGCGACCTCCACCATCACCGCCTCCTCGTCCTCCTCGTCTTCGTCGTCTTCGTCGTCTTCTTCATCATCGCTCTTCTTCTCCTTTTCGCTTTCGCTTTCTTCGTTTTCTTCTCCGTTTTCGTTTTCCTTCTCGTTCTCGTGCTGCCCACCTTCGGGCTGCAGCTCGACGAGGGCCCGGCGCAGCTGGTCGATCTCGAGGTCCTTGCGGCCGAGCAGCACCTGGGCCAGCTCCTTCTCGCGCTGGCGCATGAGCGTGAGCTCCTGCCACGTCGCCTGCGTGTGCGCCCACTCGGCCTCCTTCTTCTGCCACTCGAGCTGCCGCGTCTCCCAGGCCTGCACCTCGCGGTACATGTCCTGCACCTCGAGATTGACCCGGTTGAACTTCCACATCTCCTGCTTGAGCCGCAGCTCCAGCGTATCGCAGTGCTCCCTGTGTGCCGTGTGTGTGTGTGTGTGTGTGTGTGTGTCAGATAATACGCACGACACGACACGACACGACACGACACACGGATGTACTTGAGCTCGGCGATCATCGCGCGCTCCTTGTCGAGCTCCTCTTCGAGCAGGCTCCGCCGCAGGCGCAGCTGCTGCAGCTCGTCCTTGAGCGCCGCCCTATTCTCCTCGACACTGGTGCCGGCGTCGGCGTCGGCATTCATTGCAGTCGGGGCTCCCATCGTGGAGTCCTCCTCTCCGGGAAGGAGCCGGCGGTGCCCGAGCTCGGCCACGCGGGCTTGGGCGGCGCGGGCCAGCTCGCGCAGCTCCTGCTTCTCGACCAGCACCGCGTCCCACTCGCGCTCCTTGGCCTCGAGCGCCTCCTCCCACTCGCGCTCCTTCGCCGCCATCTGCTCCCGCAGCTCCGCCGCCGTCGAGTCGTCGCTCGCTCGGGGCTGATGGGCGGCATCGGCGTCGGCGTCGGCGAGGCGCTGGCGGAGGTGGTCGAGGGCGGCGTCGCGGTCGCGCAGGGCCGCGTGCCATTCGGCCTCCTTGGCGGCGAGGTGGTCGTGCAGCTGCTGGAGGACGGCATCCATCTCCTGCATGGTGGTGACCCACTCGTCCTCCTTGGCCGCGTGCTGGCGCTCGTCGGCGGCGAGCCGGTCGCGCAGCTCCTCGAGCGCCGCGTCCTTGGCCTGCACCACCGCATTCCACGCATTCTCCACCGTTGCCAGCTGGTCGCGCAGCTCACGGACTACCTTGGTCTCGGTCTCGGCCTCCGCCTCACTCGCCACCGCGGCCGCCGCCTGCTGCTGCTCGGCCACGGTCGCATTCCACGCATTTTGCTGGGCCTCGGCCAGGGCTGCGGCGTGCCGGGCCTCCTGGGCCGCGAGTTGGTCGCGCAGCTCGCGCAGGGCCGCATTCCACTCCTGCTCCGCGGCACTCCACTCGCGCTCCTTCTCCGCCAGCTGCTCGCGCAGCTCCCGCACCACTTCGCTCTCGGCCTCGGCCTCTTCACCGTCTTCGTTTCCTTCGTCGCCGACTCTCGTCGCAGCGCCGCGACCCGGTCGTTGGCGGTGGCCAGCTCCTCGCGCAGCTCCTCCAGCGCGGCGTCCTTCTCCTCAATAGTCGCATTCCATTCATTCTGCTTGGATTCCAGCTCCTCGCGCAGCTCCTCCAGCGCGGCGTCCTTCTCCTCGACGACCGCATTCCACGCATTCTGCTTGGCCTCAAGCTGCTCGCCGAGCTCGCGCACCGTCGCTTCGGCCGCGCTCCATTCGCTCTCGCGGGCCGCCAGCTGGCCTCGCAGCTCTTCCAGTGCCGCCTCCTTGGCCTCGAGCGCCTCCTCCCACTCCTGCTCCTTCGCCGCCAGCTGCTCCCGCAGCTCTCGCACCACTTCACTCTCGGCCTCTTCGTCTTCCTCTCGCTGCAGCGCCGCGGCCTCGTCGTTGGCGGTGGCCAGCTCCTCGCGCAGCTCCTCCAGCGCTGCCTCTTGTTCTTCGGCGGCCGCATCCAGTTGGGCCTGCTTGGCCTCAAGCTGCCCATCGAGCTCGCGCACCGTCGCTTCGTTCTCCTGCGCGGCCGCGCTCCATTCGCTCTCGCGGGCCGCCAGCTGGCCCCGCAGCTCTTCCAGCGCCGCCTCCTTCTCGGCCAGCCGCTCGCGCAATTCGTCGAGCGTGGCACTCCACTCCGCCTGCTTGGCATTCCACTCATTCTCCCTCGCTTCAAGCATCGCATTCCATTCATTCTCCTTGCCCTCCAGCGTCGCGGTCCACTCGTGAAGCTGGCCGTTGAAGCTCTGCTGCTTGTCGCCCTCCAGCCGGTCGACGATGGCCTTGAGCTGCTGCTCGATCTCGTCGGCCTCCGCGCGCCGCTCGTTCTCGCGCGCCTCCCGCTCGCGCTCCCACTCGCGCTCCTTCGTCTGTGCCGCATCCGTGACCTGCGCCAGCTCGGCCTCGAGCCTGTCCAGCTCTCGCTGGGCGTCGGCCAGCTGCGCGCTGAGCGTCGCGACCTCCTCCGCCCTTCGTTCTCTGTCATCTTCGTCGTCTTCGCTTTCCTTTGTCGTCTTCGCTCTTTCCGCTTTGATCTCCGCGCGCAGCTCGGCCAGGCCGTGCTCCGCAGCCGCGCGGCTCTGCTTGGCGGCCTCCAGCTCGCGCTCCAGCTCGACATACTTGGCATTCTCGTCATTCCGCTGTCGCTTCATGCGCTCGACCTCGGCCAGCATGCCATGAATGTTGGTCTGCTGGGCCTCGCCGTCCTGCTGGTACCGGTGGACGATGGCCTCCAGGCTCGCAGACCTCTCGCGCTCGCGCTCGATCTGGCCCTCGAGGTCGGCCACGCGGTCGGCGAGCTCGTGGCGGGCGCGCTTGAGCTCGACGACCAGCTGCGACGAAGCTTGCTGCTGCTTGTCGCCGTCGCTCGGCCGCCCCATGGCATCGCCGTTCCCATTCGGTTGCTGGGACGGGCCGTGGCGCACGAACGGTCCCCGCAGCCTGCGCTCACATCGAATCAATGGTGTGTGTCGTGTCGTGTGTCGTGTGTCGTGTGTCGTGTGTCGTGTGTCGTGTGTCGTGTGTCGTGTGTCGTGTGTCGTGTGTCGTGTGTCGTGTGTCGTGTGTCGTGTGTCGTGTGTCGTGTGTCGTGTGTCGTGTGTCGTGTGTCGTGTGTCGTGTGTCGTGTGTCCGTGTGCCGTGTGCCTGGAGGAGGTGGGAGAGTACCGTTCGATCTCTTCCAACAGTTCGATCTGCTTTTCGCTGAGCTTACGGCAGTTGCGCTCCATCTCCTGCATGAGGCCCTGCACCCGCTGGCCGTTCTCCTTTTCCATCTGCGCCACCGACTCGGCGCGCTTGACCTTCTCTGTCCACACCCTGCGCTCCTCCTCCCTCACCTCCTCCACCCTACGCGCGCCATCGAAATCAGCACTCGCCGCACACGCGCACGACACGCACGACACACAACGTAGGCAGGTACGCACTTTCGCTGGGTGACTTCTTCGGCGGAGCGGCGGGCGCGGACCACCTCCTGCCCCAGTGCGCGGAGCTTGGCGCCGACGGCCTCCAGGGCGTCATCCTTCTGCTCGGCCTCCTCGCGCAGCTGCGCCACGGCCGCGTCGGCCGCGTCGAGCCGGGCGCGCGCCTCGCTGAGCGCGTCGGCCTTCTCCCGCAGGGCCTCGCGCAGCCGGGCCTCGCTGTCGACGAATTTGCCGAGCTTGACCTCAACCTCGCCCAGCAGGTGGTCCTTCTCGCGCAGCTGCGCCCGTTGCTGCTTGGCGGCCTGGGCGTCCTGGGCCGCCTGCTGGCGCCACTCGTCGACCTCACGCAGCAGCGCGCGCCGCTCGGCCTCAGCCTCGCGCTTGGTGTCGTCGACCACGCGCGACGCGGCGGCCTCGGCCGTGTGCAGGGCCTCCTCGAGCCGCCGCTCGCGCGCCCGGGCCTCCTCGACCTCGGCCTTCCACTTGGTGGTCAGGTCCTGGATCTGTTCGTCCTTCCCGCGCAACAGCTTGTGCAGTTCGTCCTTCATCTTCTTCTCCTGTTTGTAGAGTGACTGTGAGTCGCTCGTTCGTATGTGTCGTTGTGTGTGTGTGTGTGTGTGTGTGTGTGTGTGTGTGTGTGTGTGTGTGTGCGTGTGTTGCGTGTGTTGCGTGTGTGTGCCGCGTGTGACGCGCACCACCTCCTGCAGGTCGATGGCTTGCTTCTTGAGTAGGATGTTCTTGGTCTGCAGCTTCTGCTTGAACGTACGGATCTTGTCGTCCCACTCCTGCTTCTGCGCCTGGACCGCGCGCTCGAGCTCGGCCCGCTCCTGCTCTCCGGCGCGCGCGTCGGCCTCCAGCCGCAGCCGCAGCTGCTTCTCGAGGTTGAGCGCGTCGCTCAGGGCACGCGCGCGCTTCTCGCCCACCTCGTGCTGCTCGACGGCGTTCTCGAGCTCCCACTCCTTCTCCTCCAGGTCCTGCTGGGCCTTCTCGCGCGCGGCGCGCTCAGTCTGGGCCTGGGCCTGGGCCGCGACCAGCTCCTGCTCGATGCGCTCGCGGCGCTTGCGCTCGTCGCGGCCGCGGCCCACGGCGGCGTCGAGCTCCTTCTCCAGGCGCACGCGCACCTCGCGCTCCTCGACCACGCTGCGCTGGACGGTGTCGATCTCGTGCTTGACCTGCTCGAGCACCTTGCGCATGCCGTCGGCCTTGTCGCTCTCGGCCTTGAGCCGGCGCCGCGCGTCGTCGGCCTCATGCTGCAGCCGCTCGCGCTCCTGCCGCGCGGCCTTCTCCTGCGCTCGGGCTTCGTCGCGTTCGCGTTCGGCGCGCTGGCGCTCGGCGGCGAGCTTGTCGCGCTGCTCGGCGTGCTGGCGCGACTCGCCCTGGACCCGGGCGAGGGCCTGCTGGCACTCGTGGAGCTCCTCCTCGAGCCGCTGGACCACCGTGATGTCCTCGTTCTGCCACTTGGCATATTGTCTGCATGTGTGCCGTGTGCCGTGTGCCGTGTGCCGTGTGCCGTGTGCCGTGTGCCGTGTGCCGTGTGCCGTGTGCCGTGTGCCGTGTGCCGTGTGCCGTGTGCCGTGTGCCGTGTGCCGTGTGCCGTGTGCCGTGTGCCGTGTGCCGTGTGCCGTGTGATTGCCAGTGGCGAGGTCAGCGTGCTTGCGCCGAAGCCATCATCAGAGAAAAGTGAACAAAGAGGGAGTCGAGACCTGATGAGCTGCCCATCTTCATCTGTGAGCTGGTTCTTGAGTGCTGCGATATGCTCGCGAAAGAAGGCCTTCTCTTCCCTGGATGGAGTAAGATGAAGTTGAATGGAAGTGATGACAGCGAGGGCATAGAGGTGATTATGAGGCGGTGGAGCAAGTACCTCCTCTTGTTACGTTCAATTTCGAATCGTTGCCTCAGATCTTCGATTTCTGTTTTCAATTCCTCTTCAATGTCGCCGTGGCGTAGCAGGTCATCGAATCGCGACAGCACCGCGGCTGCCTTGGCAGAGCCTCCGCGGCCCCGCCCCTTCATCTTCGCCCTCTTCTCTTCCATTCCTCACCGGGGGGGAAGGTGCGATTGGAGATTCGATCCGTTGCTATCTGCTCTAATTCTATTTCTACGTGAACGATCTCGACATGAACCGAGACGGCCGGACGAGCACGTGGACCCTCCCGATGAAGCGAGATATCAACTCAAGCGATCTGTCGCGCGAGATGCGTGACACGTCAGCCTTTTCTCCTTCTATTTCTTCTTCTTTTGTTTTACACCATACCCCAAGAGCTTCGTTTGGCTTCACGTCACTGCATCGAAGGCCTGGGCTCCAGCTTGAACGGTCCCAAGCTCATGATGGGTCCGCCAAACTTCGGTCCTCCAACCCTGTCGCCAACCTCCATCATCAGCCTGTGCGGTGTGTGCGGTGTGTGCGGTTGGGGTGCACAGTGGTTGAAGTCTACCGTATCTGGAGCATGTAGAAGGTCTCGGTGTGTTCGAGGGCGTCGGGCAGCACGTCGGGCAGCACCACGGAGGGCGGGCTGCTGAACGGGATCTTGAAGCGCACGTGGTGGGTGCTCCTGAACTTGCCCTTGATGGGGAACCCGAAGGGCGTCATCACCTCCGTCCGCACCGCCTCCTTCTTCTTCTCCACCCTCAGCTTCGTCTTTTGTTTCTTTTCCTGCATTGCGTATGTGCGGTGTGATGAGCTCGAGTATGAGTGTGTGTGTGTGTGTGTGTGTGTGTGCGGTCGTGCGTGTGCGGTGACCTGGTCATCGGCGCGATAGCCCATGACGGCGCCGTAGGTGACGTGGCAAAGGGACATGGCGATCTCCTTGATGACCTGCATCGTGTGGTTCCTGATCTCCAGTTCCACGGGGATGTTGTCGCCCACGTAGAAGCGCTTCCTGGGCGACTTGGCCACCAGGATGACCATCGTCGATGCCTTCTTGGGCACCTTCTTCACCTTGCATTGACACTCTGTGTCCCAAAAGTAGTCCCTGCCCAGCCCTGCACGTGTGTGTGCGTGTGCGGTAGTGAGTGCGCGGGTGCGATTGATGCGTGTCGGGAGAGTGGGGGGGGGGCAGTGCCTTGCGGGTTGGGTGCGTTGTTATAGGCCTGCTCGAGTTTGAGCATGCCCACGCGCTTTTGCTCATCGATGGCCGCCAATCCGTGGCGGGTGTAGTTCACCACCAGGTTGGTGCGGCCCATGGGCTCTTCCTCCTCCTGCTTCTCCTTTTCTGCAGCCGCCTGACACCACTGGCTGCACGAGCAAGGCTATGGTGAGGCAAAGGTTGCTCCCTTTACACCACACACACACACACACACACACACACACACACACACACACACACACACACACAACACACACAGTCTCGAGACGCAGGATGGGGCACCTCTGAGTCTGCTCTTCCGTGGGTGCGTTGGACAGGCCTGCGTCGGGTTCGGGCACGGGATGACCCATGTGCCTTCTGATCGACATCTGCGCCAGCCGGTTGGCTTCCGCCATCGATACACTCTTGCGCCTCCTGCCATGCGACGCGACGCGACACGATGTCAGAATCGATTGGAGAGGGGGCTGTGGCGAGAGGTTATACGAGTTGGAGCGGAAGGCCAGGCCGGCTTGAGGTTGAGGCAGGTCGGGCAGCTGATTGATCGAGCTCGCTCGCCCTCTGTGTTGCCCGCCGCCGCCGCCGCCGCCCGGCGGGATGTAGACTGAGCGCCGGCGCCACGAGGGCTTGTCGGCCTTCTTGAGGCCCTCCTCTTTGCGCTTGATCAGCGCCTCCTCGATCGCGGTCAGCGACGCCAGGAGCTTGTCGGCCTTGTACATGAGGTTGAGAATGACCGTTCCTATTTTCCACTCAATGAAGTGAGCGGCGCAGTACTGCAAGAATGGGAAGACGGGAGAAGAGGTGGACCTTGCTCAGTCTTGGCGACGGTGAAGGGCTTGGAGGGCAGGTTGAGCTGCATCTCCTCGCCCATCCTGTCCAGCGCGGCCTGCCCCGAGTCCATGGGGGCCTCGAGTTTGCTGCACATCACCCGAAACACCTGCGGGGGCCACACAAGGGTCAAGCGTCACAACCCATCCGACCATCAACATCACAATCGAAACAAGACACATGCTTGGGAGGGAGTGAGGCAACGCACCCGATCAAGCCGTGCTTCCAGCATCTTCGCGTCCATCTTTTTCCTCTTGGGGGTCTTCCTCACCAAAGGGGGACCAAGATCTTGTCCACCCTCCACAAAACAATTTCGTAAAACCACAAAACAACACCAAAACCGAACAAGACATTTGCCAAATATTTGGTTCCGATGCAACTGAAAGAGCTGAAAAGCGAAGAATTTTTTTAAAAAAAAGCTAACCCACTCGGGTTCGTCTTGTTCAAGAGGCTGAAGCAGAGAAAGGAAGAACAGATGATCACTCTTCACGCCACAGAGCGGAACCTGAAGTGGATGTCGGGCAGCTCGAGCTCGTCGCCGGTCGCGGCGTCCTCGCCCTCTACCGAGAGGAGGAAGAAGTGCTTCGTGGCCGGGATCGTCTTCTTGTTCACCGTGCACCAGATGTCCGTCACCCTGCACAGCCCATGTCGTCGTCAACATCATCGTCTACAACATAGTGACGGCGATGAGGGAGAAGAAGAAGAAGAAGAACGTACGGCTGTTGGAGGCGGGCCTTGTGGCCGGGCAGGTAAGAGGTGTACATGAGCCCCACGCCGCTGGCGATGGAGTTGACGACGATGTTGTGCTCCTCCTTGAAGCGGTTGACGAGCTCCTGGAGCGTGGTCTGCTCGGTCATGTTGAACTCGATCTTGTCCCACTCGGTCCAGCCCTCCGCCGGATAGCTCTTCGTGCCCTGTACCGCGCACGTGTGAGAAAAAACGCTGAAGAAGGTGTGCGTGTGCGGTGTGTGCGCGTGCGCGTGCGCATACCTCGGCCTCGTTGCCCTTGTGAACTGCTGGCGGGAGAGGCTCCGAGAAGGCCCAGAACGGGAGCGCAAGGTTGACGAACGCGTTCTTGAACTGCTCCAGCTTCTTGTCGCCCTGCACCAGCTTGTAGAGCTCCAGGCACACAAGACCTTTGGGTGGCAAGAGTCAGTCACCACTCGGGCCGCACGCATGACACGCACGAGGCTGGAGACCTACCAGTAATCATGGCCGTGGTGGTGGCAATGGCAGGAATGATCTTGCCCGCGATCTGCTTGGTCTTGTGCACGTCGGCCTCCTTGATGGAGTAGTTGCGCGCCCTAAGGTTGGAGGCGGCAGTGATGAAGGCCATGTGGTAGTTGGTGTCGTCGTCCTTCTCAAAATTGATCGGCTTCAACCGCCAGTCGCCCACCTGCTGCCTATCGGGGAGGGACCCGACGATCCGCTGGATGGCCGCCTCGTCCGCGTCGTGTTCGTCACCGCCACCGCTGGGCTCCTCCTGCTGGCCAGGGTCCGTCTGGATTTTGACTGTGTTGTGTGTTGTGTGAGCCGACACCTACGCGCTTGAGAGTGACGAAGAAGAATAGGGAACTTACCCTTCTTAGGCACGAATGTGGGCACGGTGGTGGTCTTCAGGACCTCGTGGATCTCCTCCATCGAGATATGGTCGTCGATGCCGTAGAGGTGCGCCAGGAGCTTGGTGCCGGCGATGATGAAATCCATGTGCAGCGTGTCGTCCTCGGAAAACGCGAGCGCGCGGGGGAAGCGCTTGGGACCCGACCAAAAGCGAACCTGTTGGTGTGTCGGCGCGTGACGTGTGTTAATCGACCAAGGTCGCTACATACAAGAGCGATCAATTAGAGAAAGGAGGAACATACGCCGTTGGAGGTGATGTGGTCCTCGGGGAAGTTGTAGGCCAGCTGAGCGATGTTGTTGTGGAAAAGCTCCTCGAAGTGCACGCGCGCCCAGGCCACACAGTCCTTGATGGTAATTGTGTTGCCCTTCTCCAGGTAAGCCTCGATACCCTCCAGCGTCTTCTTGAGTACGCCAATATTGGTGTTGGCCTTGAGCTTCTTCACGTAGTCGGGGTTGTCCAGGTAGTTGTTCACATCCTCGGCCTGGTTCTTGAAGAAGCCGCCGAACAAGTCCCTCGCCCACTGTGATGACGAAGCGACACATAAAATTGAACAAAGATGAGATCCAGCACAATGACTGCGAGCTGCGCTCGGGTGTGTCTTACCTCGATGGTGTGCTCGATCTTGTTGGGGAAGTTCTTGAGCGTGCACATGGGAATGGTCTTCTCGGGAGGATCGGCCGAGGCCGAGTACGACTCGGTCTTGTGGGGCAAGACGACCTGCGTGTTGGCCTTGGCGCCGAGGGTGCCAGACTCGAGGAGAGGCTTGCCGTAGGTGACGCACTGGTAATCGGTGTAGCGGCGGGCCTCAAGGTTGTCCAGAGCATTGCACACGCCGTCGAGAGAACGCCAGAATTCCTCCGTGAAGGTTTCTGTAACAAAGTCAAGAAATCAGTGTCGATATACCACAAGACAGAAAGTGCAGGCGCTGAACTAGTCGTAGTGGGCGAGCGTACCCTCAGTTTGGACGGGGATCTCGTAGGGTGTCACACGGATGTGAGGATTCATGACCTTGATCGCCGCCGAGGCGGCCTGCGACTTCATTTTCTGTAAACAAGCAAAGAAAGAAAGTATGAGGAACACCACACCGCGCGAGGGCCTAGAGCACAGAAACGAGGTGCTGGATGCGTACGCCAATGTCATAGTCGCGGAAGAGGAACTGGCGGTTGAGGTTGGACTTTTCGATGTTGTCCATGTCCGTCACGAAGATGGTGCCCTTCTCGCCGCAGGCCAGACCCATCATGGCAAAGTTCTTCAGGAACTCGCATCCGAGGGCACCCGCACCGCAGAGGAAGTACTTCTGCTGCTCGAGCTTGTCCTGGAACGACTTGCCGAACACGGCAATCTGGTTGTCGTAGCGGCTGCCCACCGGGGCGTGGTCGGCGAGGTTGAGCTCGCTGGGCAGGGCCTCGACGGCGTCGAAGTAGAACCACTGGAAGAGGGGGTGGAACTTGCCCGAGATCTTGAGCACTTCTTGCGCCGTGATACCGCCGAAGAAGGCGTTCTGTGCGAGGGTGAGAACTAGGGTGAGATTGCTGCAGACGAACTTACTGGGCGAGGAAGCCGTACCATAGGGCTCAGGTCGCCACGCGAGAACATGGCCAGCTTTCTGATAATGTCCTCATCGATCTCCTCCACCTCGTGCACCTTGTCAGCGATTCTGCTGGCGTTCTGTTTGTTTGTACAAATTCCATCAAAGTCACGCGTTTGAGTCATCATTCCAACGGCACTGAAGTGTGAGCCGAGTGGATTGGGGGTTTACCTCGTTCTTAGCCTGCTGATTCAAGTCTTTGGCCAGCTGGACGACTTCGTTCGCGGCGTTCTCGTCGCCCACGGGCGGCAGCTCGCCGTGTTTGTCCTGGTAGGCCAGGAGGGCCTGGAAGCCAAAGTGCAGCTGCTCGGCGCGCCCGATCTTGGCAAAGTCGCTCATCGTGAACTCGCCCGGCGTGAGGAAGGACTTGGCAAGCGACGAAAACTTGAGCTCCTTGGGCACCTTCACCTGCTGAACCACGCCTCCGCGCTCGTACGCCGTGTAACCCGTGGTATCGAGCGCAATCTGGAAAGTATAAGGCCCTGTAGGCAGACGGCAGCTAGGGTGAGCACAAAAGGTGCGTGATGAAGGATCAGGATGGCTGGGGCGTACCAGTGACGGTGACCTTCACCGGCTTGGCGCTGTTGAGCTCCGTCATGCCCTCGACCTCGTCGAAGATCACTTGGTCGCCGTCCTCCAGACCGTGCCTGCTCTCGTCGTGCACCGTAACAATAGCGGGGTTGTCCTGCAGGACGGAAGTAGAGCTTCGGTTTAGAGACAGGCGCACACTGTACAGTCCGCCTTCCTGCACACGCCGCACGCAATACCTGGCTGATCGAGCTGATGATGTGTCTTTCGGGCTCCTCGCCGTTGGTGTCCACCACGACGAAGCTGTCGCCAAAGTCGGTGAAGATCGTGCCGAAGAGACCCCTGGTCTCGGCCCAGCAGAAGGCGATGCGGTTGTCGTGGCAGTAGGTGCTCACCCTCGTCAGCTCGGAGGTGGACTTGGCGTTGGTCATCACCACGACCTGGAAAGAGGAGAGGAAGGCCTCGTCCAGGGCTCCCGTGTGGGCATTCACGGTCACGTAAGGGTTGAGCTCAGCCACTCGGTGCACGCAGGCCTGTTCACAACCGTGCGTGAGCGTGACGTGCTTGCATGCGTACAATGCAGCACTTGCAAGAGAAGTGGTGAAGACGAACCTCAGCTCTGTTTTTGCCCACGTCTTCCTCAAACAGGTAGAACTGCGATGAGAGGTCGCTCAACACTGCCGCTTCAGTGTCATGGAGAGTCACGGACTTGACGCCAGCGAGGACCACATTCTTGGCTGGTCCAATCCCAAATGGGTTGTGGAGAAGAGTTCACGGTCAGGCGGGAACACCAAAACAACGCTGCCTCGCATCTTTATCGATCAATAAAGTCGTAATAAAGAGGAAAAAAAGAGCGTACCAATCTCGAGGCCCAGACCCTTGACTCCGCAGATGAGCACGTTCGTTTCGGCGAGCTTCTTCATGGTCTCCAGTCCCAGGACGTAGACCTGGCGCGAGTACAGTCCCAAATCCAATTTGGACGTAGTGCGCGCTCGGGCTGGCAGGTGCATCGCGTAGTGAGCACACCCAACGAAGCTGCAACAAGTGCAAGCGTATAAGAAGGAGAGAGCAGTGCGTACAGGTGAGAAGGCGCTCCTTTCGCACGTCGGCTTTGCCAGCAGCGCGGTCATCTGATTCGGTGCTTTGCTGTAAAATTCAAATTTTGGAAGATGAAGAGAAAAATGAGAAATGACACAAGAGGGTGAGGGTCTTGGCCACGTGCAATCAACCACGCAAGGCCCTGAACACTCCACAACGAGCGGCAGTGATAAACAAAAGAAACATGACAGAGTAATCATGCAAAAAGACCATCACCCTACTGATTTGCCATCCGCGACAAGTCTTGAACTTACCTCGTGGGTGCGCTTCATCGCTAGCGTAGCAGTCGATATGCAGTGGCTGTATATCTATTGAATATTGGGCTGGCTCGTGTGTCACGACGCGCAGATGTAGCAAAAAGAATAGATGGCAAAAAGAGAAAATAACAGCTTTGTGCCTTTGAAATATTTCTTAGAAATGTCTGAAACACCAGCAAACGTTGTTCATTCCACACTGCACACACACTGCATACTTGGTGGTCGTAAGGTAATCACGCGCAAAATCAACAGCCATGACAGGTTTGCTCAATCGAGGAGATGGACGTAGATGCCAGCGTGCCATGCACCATTCGAGGCGCGGGCTGGCATGACCGCGTTGGACCACGCCGTCGGCGCTGTCGGCTCCTTCAGGAAGTCGTGCTGCTGTTGCAGCCCTTTCTTGTAATGCACGCCGCGATCATGATCGGGCATAAACAGATGTGCTGTAGGCCGCACCGACGCCCATTAGCGGGAACACTGACGAGAGTACGAGGAGAGGAGGCACTCGTGGGCCGTAAAAAGGAAATACAAGAAAGAAAAAGAAAATGTGCCACAAGTGCATCTGAGTGCGTTGCCTCGAAGTCTTCTTCGCCATCTTTTTGTCTCGTCCCTCTCTCGATTTCTACCCCTGCAATGAAGAGGCCTTTTCTCGCGCTACCAACAATAACGAGAAGAGGAAACACCCCAGAGTTTTACCTCACCCTCTAGGGGAGGCGGTCATGCACGCATCTGTAGATGGGCTCTCGTGGTACGTCCGCACACGCAGCGCCGACGTGCTCACGCCTCGCGGCCTTTGTTCGCCAACCATCGCTATAATCTCTGTGGTTGATCGAAAAGGCCTAGAGCGCGAGCCGCTCCGGCGTCGCAGATGGCCCGCGCAGCAACTGTTGGCGCCCGCTCAGCTGGTGCTGTCGAGTCCTCCTCTTTCGCGCGGTCGCCCGGCCTCGTCTCGTACACTTCGCCTGTGCATCGCCTGAAGGTACGCGTCGCTTTCGCTCTCAAGAGGCGCGGTGCACCGTTCTTTTTAGTATATCTTTGCGATTATGATCATCACAGCGACGGGTGCTGGCGAGATGCGCGACACAGCAGCGGTGAAGACGCCCCCACCGCCATCTTCTTCTCCTTCTTCTTCCGTCTTCTCGGTACCTACCTACTACCACCACATCTCTCATCGTGGCCTCCATTGTCGGCCTATCACCGCGCGGCCCTGTACTATCTATCGAGCACCATCTATCGTGTTCTATCGAATCTTATGTACTATCGTGTACTATCATCTATGATGTACAATGGTCTATTGATTCTCATCTTCTGTGTCTATTCTACAAGCTGTGCGTTTGCGCAGGTGGCGTACAATGGCGGTAGCGGGCCAAGCAGCTTGCAACGTCGGCCTCAGCAGCAACAACAAGGTCGATGACGTATCCTACTACGCGTTAGTACTAACCACGTTCTCAGACACCACTAGCATGCAGTACGCCATCTTCTCTTCCTGTTCCCGCTTCTCCTTTCCTTCTCTTCTTGTTTTCTTTTCGTTTCTTCTCCTTTTCGTTTCTTCTCGTTTTCTTCACGTTTCTTCTCTTTTTCTTCTTTTCCGTATTTGGTCATTGCGGTGTCCGCTCCGGATTTGGCGAGCTCGTGCTTTGACTGACGTGGCGGTGGTGCGGGGATCCAGGAAAAATTTCGAGGCATAGAGCACATTTCAACAACAAGCAACGAGCAGCACGTACAAAGCAGCAACAACAAAGGGAGAGACGATACTATCACGATGAACGGGTTCTCGCTGATCGCGTTCTTCTTCTTCGCCCTCGCGACTGTTTTCGGTGCTTCCGCGACTATCAACAACACCAACACGACCAACGCCGTCGTCGTTGAGATGCATAACGCGACCCACCCCACCATCTTCAACACCATCTTCTTCTCGGCTTCTGGGAACGACATCGTGCCTCGACCGGTCATGGGCTACGACATCGTCCATCGCCTAGTCGAGGCCTTGACGAGTACGAGCAGCAGCCCCTTCAACGGCCACCTCCCCCTTTTCTTCATGAAGGGGGTCGAGAGGACGACTCGCCCTGGACCATTCGAGGGCAACAGCGCCTTCTACTTCAACTTCAACTTCGAGAAGAAGAACAACAACGTCGAGCCGGCTCGTCCCGGACCTCTTAACGTCAACGACATCTTCGTAATCTTCTGCAACAAGATCAATAATAATAACAACAACAAGGAGATCATCATCAACAGCAACTCGTTCGCGACCCTCGAGCAGGACGTCGCGCCCGGCCTGGCCCGCGGCTTCGCGACTCAGGTCGAGGTCGAGACCGAGTTGGGCTCGCGCAAGGCCTTGTCGCCATCATCATCGGTCAAGCGGCACCTCCAGGCCCTCGGGGCCTTCCTCTACTCGGCCCTCCCGTCGAGGCCCACACTCCTCCCCTCGTCGTGGCCGTCGGTTGAGGTGTCCTCGTGGGCTACGACTACTACGCTTCCGTCAGCGCTGGCGGGAGTCACCAACATCGCGGTGCCGCGGTGGGTGGCGATGTTCGCGGCGCAGGTGGTCGGAAGCGGACTGCTCTACGCGGTCTACCTGTGGGCCATGAAGGACTCGCTCCCCGCGCCCCAAGCCCCGGCCCCGGTCCTGACGCTCCGCCGCTTCGTGAGCGCATCCCGCCGTCGCCACAACGCCGCAGGCCAGACCGCCGCCGTGGCCGTGCCCCAGGCCCCCGTGGTCCGGCCCCCGTGGTCGAGGCCCAGCAGCCCGCCGCCGCCGCCGCGTTCCAGGCCGCCGTGGTCGTGGCCATGTCCCAGCAGGCCACCGCCGCCGTGGCCGGCGTGCTCCAGGCCGCAGTGGTCCTGTCCATGACCCGGCAGGCCGCCGCTGCCGAGGCCGCCGAGGCCTCTGAGGCCGCGGCCAGAGAGAGGGACGCGCACCTCAGAGCGCATATCGCGCAGCTGGCGTGGCTCGAAGAGGTGCTCTACACGCCGCCGCCGGAGCAGCCCGAGGGCATGGACATGTGCATCTGGATCTCCATGCGGCGGCTGGAAGAGGAAAGGAGCCTCGCGGAGGCCACATACGCTTGGCACCGCTTCCTGGACGAGCAGAGGAAGCACTAGTGCGTGGCCCGACCAAGTATGTGCTCCCAAACTTATTCTTTATGTTTATATTTGTTTTGAGGTCGTTCGCTAACGTCTGCATCAACGAACACCACAGACACCAAGAACAAAAACAAAAACAAAAACAAAAAAATCAGGTCAGCCCCACGAGTCTTCGGTCTCCTCTCTCTCCCTCTCTCTCTCGACTTGCGGCCCGCCGCGCTCGACAACGATGCGGCCACTACAACGTGAACGTCGTCCAGCGCAACAAAAAAAGTATGTATGATGATGTGAGGGGGTGGCGTGTCTTCTCTGCTTACTAAAGCTTGTGGTTTCCTTCGTCACACACAGAAACGCTGAGACGCAACTCTTCCCCATTCCACACTTCAATCATCTTCGTCATGGATTCGAGCAAGTGCTATGACTTGGCCAGCAGCGCGCCCTTCCCGTACGTCTCTCCCCACTCACCCGCTTTACGGTTCATTCGTTTGGTGGTCATCGTGAGTGCTCATTCTATCTCCACCCCACGTCAACAGAGGAGGGAAGTGAGTCGCGCCTGGCCCGCAGCAGCGGTGGCATGTTCCGGGCCGAAGCAGAGCCCGATGCGCCCACCGCGCTCGCTCAAGGAGCGAGCTCCAGCATCCGTCCTATCATCATCATCATACCCGACTGCCCCACGCTGGGGCAGTCCCTTGTGTCGTGTCGTGTCGTGCCCTCTTGTAGTGAGTGTTAAGGCCCTGTACTTGACGCTGCGCGAGCCTCTCCTCCCTCTCTTCTCTCATTCTATTTGTTTCTTCTCTTCTCTTCTCTTCTCCCTCGCCACTCTTCCCTCGCGCGCGTCAGGGTGCATGTAACGTAATAAGAAAAATAAACTTTATTTATTGATAAATGAGTGCAATTTGCGTACACTCTTTGTTGTTAATCTTTCTTCCTTCGGATGGTGTCGAGGTCTGCCCAGTCGGGCTTCTTCCACTGGTCTTGCAAGTGCGACAGCCCGTGGTGCTTCAGCTTCTCCTGCACAGCAAAAATAAGAATAGCAGATAAATATAAATAACAATATAATAAAGAAAGAAGAGGTGGATGGGCGTACGGCGGTGCAAGCTCGGTAGCGCTCCCAGGAGGGCTTGCACTCGTCGGTCTGGGCCTCTCCCTTGACGAACTTGGCCAGCCATACGTGGAAGCACTGGTCGTGCTCCTCCTTGAGGTCCAAGCATGCTTCCGGCTTGGAAAAATCTATGCCCGAAAAATCAAGTGGTGGAGATGACGACGCATCGCCGGGTGCCGCCTCTTCCTTTGGCTGCTGGCTCATATGCTTTCGGTCTCTATCGATTGATTGGCGATTATGAGGATTTCCTGGTAGATCAGAGGCTAATAAAGAAAAAGAAAAAGAAATGCAACCACTCCCGTGTCACAGCGCAGGCGGCTGGTGATGCTGGTCCTCAAGGGCGGAGAGGCGCAGGGACAGTTGAGCCGCCTGGTCGAGGAGGGCCTCCTGCACCCCAGCCACTCGCGCGCCAGCGATGGCCTCTACGCCTTCGTCTTCGTCTTCGTCTTCGTCTTGCTCCGTCTCTTGGGCCGCGGCACCGTGCGACGTTGATGACGAGCCGACGCTATCGTAGGTGCGTGGCTGGGTGACGAACTTGGAGTGGATGAGCTTGAGGTCGAGCGGCGTGGTGTCGGGCGCATGGTGCACCATGGCGATGACACCGACACGCTCCCCTTCACCATCATCAATGCACGTGTTGGTATTAATGAACTACAGCCCACGCGCGCGCATGTGATGTGGGGGTGTGCAGTGAACGTACCGTTGTTGTCGAGAATCTTGGTGGGATTGCTGAACTCCCCACTGAGCTGCTGGTCCGAGGCTAGCATGGGCACGAACCGCACGTCGAGCAGGCCCACGGCCTTCACACGCCCGTCGAGCGCCACGTCCACCTGCACCAGCTTTTGGAACTGCCCGGGCGGCCCTGAAGAAATGACCCGCCCGCGCGCCCGAGTGGCGTTAGCCACAGCGGCCACGCCCGCGCTCGCGATCATGGCACGACGCACCCACGGGGATGACCATTCGCCCGCCGGGCTTGAGCTGATCGATCAGAGCCTGCGGCACCTCTGTGGTTCGGATTAAGCGCCGACGTCAGCGTCGAGAGCCTGTCGTGAACAGCGCGTTGCGCTGATCGTGCGCACCTTCGGCTGCGGCGGCCACGTAGATGGCGTCAAAGGGTCCTTCCTCCTCCAGCCCCGCGAATCCGTCGCCCACTCGGACGTCGATGCGCTCCAGCAGGTCGGACGAGGCGCGCTCGATGTTGTCCAGCGACGCGCGCACGAGCTCGGGGATGTGGTCGATGGCGTAGACGCGGCCGCGCGGCCCCACCATGTGCGCGAGGCACGCCGTGACGTAGCCCGAACCCGACCCGACGTCCAGCACCCGCGCACCATCCCCGCCGATCACCTCGGCCAGCAGATCGAGTCCGAACGCCACGATGTGAGGAGCCGAGATCGTGGCGTTGAAGCCTGCGAGATCGGAAAGAAAGGTGGTTTAGTGTTGGTTGTGTTTTGTGGCGAGAAGTGGTTTGGGAGGGGCGGAGGCACCGATGGGAGAGGCGGCGTCGTGGTAGGGGTTGCCGGCGACCACGAAGTGCGCGCGGTCCACGGCCAGCATGGCCCGCTCCACGCTGCCCTGCGTCAGATGAAACGACTCTGCGCAGCACGACGCGGCCAAGCATGAATCAATCATCTCTGCTGCTGCCCTAGCCCCCGGGGATTTCGGTACCCTTGAGCCGAGCCACCAGCTCTGCCAGGCTCTGGGGCTGAACATAAGGCCCGGCCTTCCTCGCCGTCGGCTTGGCACCGCCGTGGTGGTCTGTACCTGGGAGCAGACCGTTGGGCCTCAGGAGGTAAACCCTAAGGTAAAGGAGAAGAGAGGGGGGGGGGGGTGTAATTACCAGAGGTGGAGCGAAGGCGCCAATAAAGGAGGGCAGCGGCGGCAACGCCGCTTGAGGCGGCTAACAGCAGCGCAAGCCGGCCGCCTCGAGTTGCCAGAAAGGAGGCCGAGCTGCTGTTGCTTGCTTCACTCTCCATAATTTACTGACGCCATTTTCTCTTTCTTTCATTTTCACGCAAGCACTGTTGGCGTAGTGTCGGTCATTGGACCTGGTGCTAAAAGAGCTTTGTAGCTCACCCTAAGCTTTCAGCGTTGAAGCATGACACTGGACACAGCCAATATCTGGAAAAGGTGCTGTAATCTCTGAACAGGATCCAGAGATGGAGCCATCTGGATCCTCACAGCCCTGGCTCCAGCACCAGCAAGGTGTGGCAAGAGCACTCCATTGGTCGGTGTTAGGCGAGTTCAGAAGCAACGCCGTTGCCGTTGGGCGGAGTGTGAGCACAACGTCCCAACACAACCAAATGACGCAGCGTCAGGCGAGTGGTCACTTTTTTGCGGGAAATGGAGTTGAGCGGTTAAGTTTAAGATGGCGGCTCGACCTCGGGGCTCCGGAGGAGGGAGAAAAAGGGTCTTCAAGAGGCGTCAAGGTTGTTGGTTCTCCTTCACCTCCTCTTCACACCTTGCCATCGCCCACAGGTTTATGAGCTTTTACTTCCTTAGCGCTTACAGCCACCACGTTGGGAGAGACGTCGATTAGCGAACAGACATGGTGCGCACAACGCTCTACACATTTTCGCACTACACCGCACTCCACAATTGAATGTCACTGCCATCTGCTGCGGATTTGAAATTACATTACGCACGATCTGCCGCTACACAAAGCATTGTAACGCTGCTTATTGTGCACTATGGCTAACGGCTCGCTTTCATTCTCCTACACAGAACCGCACTACTGCACTCAGGAATCCTATTTTCAACGCTTGCTCGGCTTCCCGCCGAGCGGCTTCGGTCACTTCGTCTGTCGCTAGATCGCAGCTCCCATCGGTGATCGCTACGAGGAGGGACTTCTCGAAGATCACCGCCAAGAAGCACGTCTCGAATGTGACGAACTTCAAGATCATCGAGTCCACGCTCCGCGAGGGTGAGCAGTTCGCCAACGCGTTCTTCACCACCGACAAGAAGCTCGAGATCGCCACGCTGCTCGATGACTTCGGCGTTGAGTACATTGAGCTCACGAGCCCCGCCGCCTCGGCACAGAGCCTCCACGACTGCCAGAAGGTTGCCGCCCTGCCCCTCAGGAAGGTACCGCCCTCCATCCAAACTCCGATGTTCATTTGAGCATTGAAGTGATGATCCAACTTTTCCAGTTCTGCTACTGAAAATAATGATAGATTGAAGTTCCAATTTTCTGATTACCTCCACATCGCAAGCGATCCAGTGCTTTTCGAGCCATTTCTCACTCAACTCTCCCACCGCAGTCCAAGACCCTGACGCACATCCGATGCACGATGGAAGACGCCAAGCTGGCCATCGAGTCCGGAGTTGATGGCATCGATCTCGTGTTCGGCACTAGCAGTGTCCTCCGCGAGTTCTCGCACGGTAAGGACATCGAGTACATCATCGACCAGGCCACCAAGGTCATCAACTACGTCAAGGACGCCGGCAAGGAGGTCCGTTTCTCCAGCGAGGACAGCTTCCGCTCGGACATCGTCGATCTGCTCAAGATCTACAGCTCTGTGAACAAGCTCAAGGTCGACCGTGTGGGTATTGCCGACACAGTCGGTGTGGCCTCGCCGCTCCAGGTCATGGAGATGGTCAAGACCATTCGCGGCGTCGTCGACTGCGACATCGAGTTCCACGCACACAACGACACCGGCTGCGCCATCGCCAACTCCTTTGTGGCCCTCGAGCACGGCGTGACCCACATCGACACCTCGATCCTCGGCATCGGCGAGCGCAACGGCATCACCCCGCTCGGCGGCTTCGTGGCGCGCATGTACTCTGTCGACCGCGAGTACGTCAAGAACAAGTACAACCTCAAGCTGCTCCGCGAGCTCGAGAACCTCGTCGCCGACTGCGTCTCCGTCCAGGTGCCCTTCAACAACTACATCACCGGCTACACCGCCTTCACGCACAAGGCCGGCATCCATGCCAAGGCCATCCTCAACAACCCCGAGGTACTGTTCACCATCAACTCATCGAGCCCTCCTCTCGTGCACGACTGACCCTGCCTCGCTTCCCCCTCAACAGACCTATGAGATCCTGAGCCCCGAGGACTTTGGCATGCAGCGATACGTGCACATTGCCCATCGCCTCACCGGCTGGAACGCTGTCAAGTCCCGAGCCCAGCAGCTCAACCTCGGTTCGTCTCCCCCTCACTCGCACACACGCGCACGCACGCACCGCACACAACACGCGCACGGATGATGTAAACAGCTTTATCCATTCTCCGAGGGTGAGCTCGTGCGGGGGAGGACCGAGGGTTGGCGCCAAAGGTTTTCTTTGTTGCGCCTCTCCGACGTCCTCTTACGCGCGGGCGGGGAAGGGCCTTTCCGGGACGTCTGCGAACGAGTTTTTCGTTTGCGTTCGTCCCGACTGGCTTGGCCTAGCACCCGCAAGACGAAGCTTGGGTCTGACCATACAGCGCTCTGTGTTGTTCACACGTCAATGTCGCACGCACACACATTGCCTCTACAACATGATGTCTGACAATGGCTTTACTTCAACAACAACAGAGTTGACGGATGATGAGGTGAAGGAGGTGACGAGGCGCATCAAGCAGCTGGCCGATGTGAAGAACCAGTCGATGGAGGACGTGGATGCCGTGCTCAGAAGCTTCCACAGCGAGGTGACCAAGAACGAGATGTCGCACCACGTCGGCATCGCCCTCGCCAACGGCCACACGCCCAACTTCTTTGCCAACCCCTAAAGCACCTTCGCCCTTCATCATCATCTTCTTCTTCCCTCTGCGCTTCCTCTTTCAATGTAGTTCTTGTTTTTTATTGTCTTCTTCAACAACATCAAATTTTACTAGTTGATGTTTCGATCGTCGAAGTATCGTGGGTGGCGGCGGTGTGCGTCGACCAGCGAAGGACGACGCTTACCGTAGGCCTCATCTACGCGGCGCCTCTTCTTCGTCGCGCGTCCACTTGTGGAAGCGGTCCTCGAGCTGCTGCACTTGGGCAACGGCGCGATCCCACTCGGGGGTGGCCTCCATCTTCCGCTTCTCGCGCCGCACCTCCTCCTCGATCTGGTGCATGATCCGCTCTTCTTCACTCTTGGTGCACTCACGGGCAAATCGCTTCCACTCGTCCTCCAGCACTTCTGCTGCTGCGATCTCGCTTGCTTGCGACTTGCTGATGGTTGCAGCATCATCGTCAACAGCAACAGCGTTGATGGTCCTTGTGCTGTAGTGGTCACAAGGGTGGACATCGTCTGGGTCGGCACGCCGTCGTTTGCGGCTGCCCGCCCCATCACCACCCGACGCCTGCCAAAGTTCAACAAACGTCACAATAAGAGTAAAAGTCTCATAAAAATAAATTATTAATAGTGAAGGTAACGTACAAGGTGAGCTCTTGCAGGACAATCCGCTGCGAGTGGGGCAGCCTTTGATGGATGCTCCATCTCTTGTTTACTCGTGCAACAGAACAAACAAAATGCAACTCATTTTGCCCAAGCCAACAGGAGTGGGCACTTAGTGGCTGCACTCACAGCTGATTTCTAAGGGTCCACTGGGGCGTCTTATGCCCACAAACCCCATAGTGGGGCATAGGACTCGCATGTTCTTTGTTACGGCTGTAACTACACCAATATATGTACAGATATCTTTATCTTTCTTTATTAAACTCTTCGACATGCCAAACATTCCGGAGTAGTGAAGGCCTGGCAGAATTCCTGTGGAATGGGAAACGCAGCAGCTGGGACGCGGAGGAGAGGCAAAGCAGCGGCAACTCTCTCGAACTTGAGGCAGATACCCTGGGGCGTTTTTCATCTGCCAAGATCCCCGGACCCGCACAGCCACGGTGCCGTGTCTTATCGTAAGCCCATTCGAACACTACACGCTCTTCTCCCTTCAAGTGCCACTGTTTGACTCTCTTATCTCGGTGCACCAGCTTCCTCTCTTCTTCATCTTTCCTCAACAAACACACATCACAACACACAAGAAGAAGATGGCAAGACTTGCCTCGATCAAAACAATGGGGCTGGCCGCGCTGGGGCTGGCGATCGGACCCCCGCTGGTGCGAGCGGACTGGGCGTTCGACCTGCCCCATGTGGGGACGGTTGAGATCGCCCACCTGCCCTCCATAGGCGCCAGCTTCGCCCTCCTCCTCACCTCCTGCTTCGTCCTCCTCTGCATAGCCGGTACCTCCACCCCCCCCCCGCAATTCTCTTCCTTCGCATTCCTTTCGCTTTCCCTTCGCTTTCGCTCTTTTGCCCAAAGAGCGAAACTCCGATTAACGCCCCCCCCAAAGGAATGCTGTCTACGCTGACCATCAGCTTGATGTCGACGGACATGATGACTCTCCAGATCCTCGTCAACGGCGGCGGCACACCGACCGAGCAGAAATATGGTATGAAGCCCCCCCTTTTCAACTTTCATCTATGTTACATTGTGAAGTGGTTGCTCACTTGCAACCCACTGTTATATATGGCAGCCAATCGCATCATGGGCGTGATTAAAAAGCGACACCTGCTCCTGGCGACCCTATTCATCGCGAACGCGGCCGCCATGTCGGCCCTCCCCATCTTCCTCTACTTGTACGCCACTCACGGCCCTAATGCACACACATGGCCGGCCGTGCGCTCACCTTCTTTTGCTCCTCCCCACAGCCTCCTCGGCCCGCTTCCCGCCGTCCTGCTCGCCGTGGGCACCATCCTCATCGCCGGCGAGTGCGTTCACACGACACCACACGACACACACGACACTAACACACGACACACGACACGACACGACACACGGGGTGTTGACCTGCTTGTTTTGCTGCCGTCGATGTGTGCTCCACCAGAATCCTGCCACAGGCTCTAGGTTCGCGCTACGGCCTCTTCATCGGCGCCAATCTCGTCTGGTATGCGATCCTGCTGTGTGTGTGTGTGTCGTGTGTGTTTGTGTGTGTGTTTAATGGTGGTGACGCGGACAATCACGACGCGACGCAGGCTCGTGTGGGTGTTGATCGCCATCTTGTACCCCATCGCCTGGCCGGTGAGCCTCATCCTCGACTGGGCGCTTGCCGGCTCGCAGAGCACTTTCTTCCGCCGAGCAGGTTGGCGCCTAACTCCAACTCCTCACTGAGGCCTAACAGCACTGCCTTCTCACCTCACGCGACTCGCGTTGCTATGTGTGTGTGTGTGTGTGTGTGTGTGTGTGTTGCGTGTGTGTGGTGTGTGTGTGTGTGTGTGTGTGTATGTGTGTGTGTGGTTGTGTGTGGTGTCTGTGTGTCAATAGAACTGGCGGAGCTGGTGAGCCTGCACGTGCGCGACTCGCAGATCAAGGGCTCTGCCACCCGGCGGGAGCGCACGCTCGACGCCGAGGAGCGCGGCGAGAACGTGGCGGGCGCGTCAGGCGAGGAGGAGGGCCTCACGCGCGACGAGGCCAACATCATCAAGGGCGTGCTTGACATGAAGATCAAGACCGTCGATAAGTGCATGACCCCGCTGGAGAAGGTCTTCATGCTGTCGCTCGCCGACAAGCTCGACGAAAAGACCATGGACAAGGTTCGCTGTCGCCACCTCCCGCGATCACACACACACACACAACACACACACACACACACAACACACGCACACTCATTCGTTCTCACGACGCACGGGGTGCGACACACACACTTGTTCGCTCACGACACGACACACACAGATATTGAAGAGCGGGTTCAGCAGAGTGCCGGTGTACCAGGGCAAGAAGAACAACATCATCGGCATGATGATCATCAAGAACCTCCTCAAGCTCTCTCCCAAGGTACGCTTACCGAGGTGTCGTGTGTCGTGTGTTGTGTCGTGAGCGAAGATTGAACCGAGCGGTGCACTCTTTAGGACGCGGTGCTGATCGAGGACTTGAACCTGCACCGGTTGCCCACCGTGGGCGCGGACATGCCCCTCTACCCCATGCTCGATCTCTTCCAGCGCGGCCAGAGTACGCCCCCTCGACCCGTCCCCCGGCGCCAAGCTCGCATGAGCTCACCGCTCGTGTCGTGTGCGGTGTGTGCGTGTGTGTGCCGTGCGGTGTGTGCGGTGTGCGGTGCAGGTCATATGGCGCTTGTGGTGGACCCGACCGACAGAGTGACGGTGCAGGGCGTCATCACCATGGAGGACGTCATCGAGGAGCTCATCCAGGAGGAGATCGCTGATGAGACCGACAACAACCGCGACATCATGGACTCCATTCGGGTACCCACAGACGCACACACGCATACGGTCGCACACGCACACATGCAAACGCACCGCACACGCGCGCGCTCACTAACCATAATGCACCAACGCACACACGCAGGCGCAAGGAGTGAAGCCGCGCTTCAACAAGAACCCGCTGGGCGAGCGGGAGGCCAGGCGGCTGGAGCGCGCCGTGTCGTCGATCGTCCTGCCCTTCCGCAAGAACCCGCTGGACAACGTGCTCAAGTCGGGCGCCGCGTCCATCACCGCCGGCAACACCGTCGGCGTGGGCACCAGCTACTCCAACCTGCTCGCCGGCGCCGGCGGCAGCAACTCGGTCGCCAGCATCAACGACGGCGGCGTAGGAGACCAGGCCGCCGCCGTGAGTGCCAGCACGCCCCTGCTCGCCGGCAAGCCCCAGAAGGTCTCCTTCCTCTCCACCGGCAAAGAACAAATCTAAAACTCAAATAAAAATAAAAATAATAAATCTACAAAGTAATTTTATTATTTATTTTCAACTCAATTCGTAAAAAAACGAAGCGTAAAGAAAGAAGGAAGGTCCGTTCAGGCGCTTTCGTGTTCGAGGTGCTGTCGTTGGCGGAGGTGGTCGTCGGAGCAGGCGCGCAGCAGCTGGTACTGCTTGTCGCTTTCGATGGCGCGCGGGTTGTTGCGGGCCTGGCGCAGCATGTGCATCACGGCCGGCACGTCGTGCAGCGCGCCGTGCTGGAGCACCACGCACCCGGCCAGGGCGCCGCATCGGCCCAGCCCGCTCCACGACACCAGCACCACGTTCTCGCCCGCCTCCAGCCCCTCCACCATCCACCTCACCAGCTCCTTGGCCTACAGCCCTCCCAAGTCAACCGTGTGCGCACACGACACGACACGACACGACACGACACGAACACACACACACCGCACACGCACACGCACACAGTAGGGCCCGACACGCACCTGATCGACGGAGGGCGTGGAGTGGAAGAAGACGGGGACGTGGTGGAACACGATGCCGCGCTCCTCGGACAGCGCTGCGCAGATTGCGCACGCCGCACTCGAAGAGCTCCTGGTCGTTCGCGAGGCACAGCAGGCGGCGTACGCCGGCCGCGCGCAGGTCGCCGAGGTCGCGCGCCGCGTCGCGCCACTTGCGGCCGGGGATGATGGTCATGCCCAGCCGGCCGGGCAGGGGCAGGGCCTCGTGCGGCAGCCAATGGACTCGAATCGGCCCCTCGTGCCTGGAATAGGTGTTCACAATCACCTCCGCAAACCCGCACGCCGCCGCTGTCGCACGGCACAACACAATCAGCGCCGTGTGTGTGTGTGTGTGTGTGTGTGTCGTGTGTGTCGTGTGTGTCATGTGTGTCGTACCGAGAGCCCACTGGCGGTTGAGCGCGGAGAGGTGGGGGTAGGTCATGGCGTGGAGGGCGTAGCGCAGGAGCGGGATGGCCATCGGGAGCGGCTCCCGGCGATAGCCCACGATGCCCGCCGTGATCTTGCGCAGCGTGCGCAGCGTGTGGTAGGCCCGCACGAATTTCATGTGGCGCAGCCCCGGCAGCGTCTCCGGCAGGTCTTCCCCCAGGTCACTTGTGTGTGCGTGTCGCGTGTGTCGCGTCGTGTGCGGCGTGTGTCGTGTCGTGTCGTGTCGTGTGTCGGTTCGATTGTTCAATCGGAAGAAGAGAATGCCAGGAATGTTGGAGTACCGGACGCCGATGAGCAGATTGGTGATGAGCATGCCCTCGGCCAGTTCGGCCTCGCTTTCGAGGGGCGTGAAGCAGTACAGAAAGTCCGACTCCAACTTACTCACGTCCTTCAGCACATGCCCCGGTCCCGTGTGCTGTCGTGTGTGTGTCGTGTGTGTGCTGTGTGTTGTGTTGTGTGTGTGTGTGTGTGTGTCGTGTGCGCAATGAGTGCGCAAGCAGGAATGGAGGGAGCGCATGGAGAGCGTACAGAAAAGTCGATGATCCACAGGTTGCGGTGGTCGTCGACGAGGATGTTCCCGGCGTTGAGGTCGCCGTGCTGGATGGAGACCAGATGCGCCTCGCCCGGGTGCCGGGGCAGCTTGGGCAGGTCCTCCTCGAGGAAGCGCGCCACGTTGCGGAACGTGGTCCCGTCGGGGAAGGTGAGCGTCGCCTGGCGGCCGTCCTCTACGCCCATCAAGGCCTTGACCCGCTCGGCCACCTTTGCGGGCCTGTCGTGTGTGGAATGCGTGTGGAACGTGTAAGTCTTGGGCGGAATGGTGCCCGCCCGGGAGAGAATGTGTGGAATGCAGGTAATGTCACCTGTCGGTGCCGCCAGAGGCCCACGACCAGCCGACGCCGTTGAAGTCGTAGAAGTCGAGCAGCTTGATGGGCTTCATGATCGCCGCCCGGTAGAAGCGGCCCAGGACTTCGCCCAGCGCCGTGTTGACGATGTCGTCGATCTCGTCCTGCGGGGCACCTGCGCGCGCGTGTGAGGGAGAGATGGCAAAATGTGATGTTGTGTAGCCGCGGACGCGGTGTGGGGGGTACCGTCGAGATAGAGCGAACGCAGTGTGGCGGACCCCTTGCCCTTCTGGCGCATGGCCGCATAGGCAAACTTGATACCCGATCGAGTGTTGTAATCAATGAAGCTGGTCGTGTGTCGTGTGTGTCGTGCGTGTCGTGGGTGTGGTGGTTGTTAGTGCCGGCCGGATCAAACCGCAATCAAGATCGTGCGGGGCATGTACTCGTGAATGGTAGGAGCGTTATTGCCCAGCACGTCCTGCACCCTCTCGAAGTTGACCCTTTCCTGTCACCATCCCCCCACGCGCAGAACCACGTCATCAGCCACCTTAATAGGTCGAGAGAAGAGGGGGTCAATGGTACCTGCGCGATCTCGGTGCGGGGGCCGAGCTTGAGGACGAACATGGGCTGCTCGTGGCCCGACATGTCCCGCGACTTGACCCGGAATACGAGCGACCCAGAAAAGCCACCGGACAGGTGGTGCAGGCTCACCTGCGTCGAATTCCTGAACAGATAGCTGCGTGTCGCAGTGGTTGCCGCACGTGGCTGGGGGTTGAGTGCTGGAATGTGAAGCAGGCGAGAAGGTTGCAGGGTGCTCCATAGAGGTACCAGACGATGGACATGTCCTCGTCGCTGAGCGGGAGCTCAGAAGAGTCCTCCGACATGATGTCCGGGCAGTAGCTGTACGAGATGGGCGGGAGGCCGAGCAACGACCCGGGCCTCGGCAGCAGCCACGCGACAAAGTCGCCCACGCTGTCGACCACGCTCACCCCTATGACGCACGAGTCGACGCATATGCACACACACACGCACACACACACGCACACGCACACGCACGCACGCACACGCACACGCACGCACACTAAGATATCATGCGAAGAGGAGAAAAGCGTAGTATGCTGCGCGCACGCACCCAGGATAGTCTTGAGCTGCTTCAGGGCGGTGAAGTGGTCGGCACGGGAGCCTCCAGCGTGAGGGCGCTGCAGGTGCCCAGCTCTTGCGCGCCCAGCCGGGTCTTGAGGTCGTACAGCAGGAACGAGACCTTGTTGTGTGTGTGTGTTGTTGACACGCTAGAATTGGTTGAAGTCTCATCAAGTGACGCTGACCGGCGTACCTTGATTTCGGTCCACACGCCCACCACCCCGATTCTGAGCTTGGCGCCCTTGGCAGCGGCATTTTGCTGCGCTCTGTGCAGCAGTTGCGGCAGGTCCGTTTCTTCAAAGTCATTCAGCCCCGTGTTCTATGACACATCACGAAACCACCAATGACACGCACACGCACACGCACCACCGCACACGCACGCGCAATAGGCGCATGTAAGCTCGCCCTGAGAGAAACTAGGCATGAATACCAATCGCACCTTGGAGGCGTTGACGAAGAACTCGTTCGGTCGGTCCTTGGCGCCCTCCTCAAGGCCGAGCACCAGAGCCGCACCGGGCGTGTTTGCTATGCAGTGCTCGCCGAACCGGTCAAAGTGCTCCGAGTGCGGATTGTGCGAGTGCCAGTCTCTGCACCGCGCTCGCACAGTCAGCCAACGAGCGCAGAGCAAGAGTGGGGCGAGATTTGCACCGTATGTGGATGACCATCAGCTCGTCGGTCTTTTGTGTCCTGGCCCAGTGGATCAGCTGCCCAAGACGGTCCTTTGTGTTGTGTGCGCACAGCACATACGTAAGCATGAGATACACGCACACACGCACACGCCGCACGCAGGCGTGATGGTTTGATACCAGGAGCCTCGCGGCTGCACCCGCGCCCGATCAGGCGTTCCGACTCAGAGCGGCCGACGTGCATGCGGTTGGGCAGGCTCTCGTCGAGTGACAGTGGCCGCAGCAGGTCGTTTTGGATGCACTGCGTGATCAGCACCGAATACCACGCACCGGTGGCATTCTCTTCTTCCTTGCTGTCCTTCTTGGTGCTGCTCTCCGGCTCCAGCTCCACACTGCCCGCTTCTTCTGGGACCTGGGCACCAGCAGAATGGGGGGGGGTAAAGCTAAGCTCGGTGCACTTCGATCTTGAGTGAGTGGATGGATTGGCACTTGAGGGACGTCAGGGTAGTCCAGCTGTACGTCTTCTACGATAACGGCTTCTGCAGTGCAGGCTCCTCCATCTTTCTGTGTTTTTTATTTGATTTTCTTCTTTCCTGTAGTATTTTTTGGTTCTCTGCCAACAAATCGATTTTCTCAGCCAACCTATCGAGGCTTCCTCGTGAGCTCCACACCTGTCTGTCACATGTCCTGCCAACATGGCACGTTGCGCTTACCCCCCCCCCACAAGCAGATTAAACTCAAATAAATAACGAAAGGCCCACTACCGCCTTGGGCAATGTAGGAACAACAGGAGGTCTGAAAACCCACCAGCTTGATGGCAGGTTCGCCACCACAACCCTCGCCCAGCTGACCTCGATTGGCTGGTCTGCTGCGTTAAAGTACCGACCAACGGGTTGAGCAATGGACAATGGCTGCAGTCATTGGTGCAGAGGTCTTGTTCGACAGGGCAGCGAGCAGTGATGGGACGAAATCCAGCAGAGAGACGAACCCGCCATCGGACCGGCCTGCAAGCTTGAAGTGATTGACATCACGTCGATCGCCCACGTATATATAAATGGCCCTCCCTCTCGCAGTGATGTGTTTCTCTCACCAGCATTCGTTCACAGGCCTCGACCCTTATACCATCCATTCACCCACATACACGCGATACGAGAGTAGCAGGACGGTGAAATGAAGTTAGTCTTTGTTCTGCTTGCCATCCTGGCAGCCCTGGTGGCTGTGCACGGTACGCTGATCATCCACGATCACGTCGACAGTAGGCGTGTAAGACTGACATGACATGTTCAACCCCATCGGTCTCTTCGTTTTCCGCGGTTGCAGGTGAGACGAAGAGTCCCTCTCCGGCTGCGGCGGGTACCACTACGGTCGTGGGCGCCACGGGAGCCGCTGGGTCGACGGTGCCGGCCGTAGTAAAGGCCGGCATCCCCATCAGCGTGGGCAACCTCACCACGACGACCGGCACCACCACCGCCACCGTTCAGGGCGCCACCAGTACGCCTGCCACGTAATGCTATGCTATCGTGACCACCATGACTCACCACATTCACATTCTTCTTCACACCCCCAGCTGGCGTGACGATCACCGGCACGGGCGCCACCGGCGCCTTCGTGGGCCAGCCAACGATCGTGGGCGCCACCGGGGCGACTGTCTCTGTCGCCAGCCCGGGTGCCGCCATCGTTGGCGCGGCTGGCGCCAGCCCCGCGGCCTCCGGCGCTGCGGTGATCTCCCAGGTCAGCCCCTCCGCCGCCGCGTCCGGCGCTGCGGTGATCTCCCAGGTCAGCGCTTCTCCGGCCGCCTCCGGCGCTGCCGTTGTCACCGTGGTCTCCGCTTCACCCGCTGCCTCTGGCGCCGCATCCCCTGCGGCCTCCGGTGCTGCGTCCCCGGCGGCCTCTGCCGTTGTCATCGTGATCTCTCCTTCCCCTGCGGCCTCTGGCGCGGCGTCTCCCGCCGCTTCCGGTGCTGCGTCCCCTGCGGCCTCTGGCGCGGCTTCTCCCGCCGCTTCCGGGGCTGCCTCTCCCGCCGCTTCCGGGGCTGCGTCCCCTGCAGCCTCTGCCGTTGTCATCGTGATCTCTCCTTCCCCTGCGGCCTCTGGCGCGGCGTCTCCTGCGGCTTCCGGGGCTGCGTCCCCTGCGGCCTCTGGCGCGGCTTCTCCCGCGGCTTCCGGGGCTGCGTCCCCTGCGGCCTCTGGCGCGGCTTCTCCCGCGGCTTCCGGGGCTGCGTCCCCTGCGGCCTCGGGCGCAGCTTCTCCAGCGGTATCGGCCAGCCGCGCTCCCCTCGCGTCGGCCAGCCCGGCCGCTTTGGTCAGCGCAGCCGATTTATTCCCGCCTATGCCCACCTACGGCCAAGAGAACCTCCAGTTCACCTGCCCCAACGCGTACGCCCGCTTCTCTACAGACATTCATTGTTGTTGAATTTTCATAATGCTTTTATATATTTATGCTTTATATATTATATACTTTATCTGGACTAATTATTTCGTCTTGGTTTGTAACGTGGTGCACAGTACGATGCAGGCGATGGTGGAGGTGAGCCTCGAGCCGCTGCTGATCGGTATCGATGCCGTGAGCTCGATCAAGTTCGCTGGCTGCCCGTCCCTGATGTACGTGGCCACCAAGGCCGGCCAGATCTTCGAGGTCACCATCGACAACTCGACCTCCGCCGTACGCTGCCCCCCCTCCAACTTCGTAGTTTGCCTTCACCTCTTGTCTCTTCCTTCTGACACGATCACCGCACACACGACACACAGGTCACCCAAGTGCGACTCATCTTGGACCTGAGCAATGAAATCGCCACGCCGTCCACCCAAGCCAGCACCACTGCGGGCGGCGGCGCCAGCGGCGGCGCGTCGGCTTCATCGAACGCGGCTGACCAGCCGGGCCTGCTGGGCATGGCGTTCCCTCCCGACTTTGCCGACAGCGGCCTCTTCTACGTCTACTTCTCGGCCTCCTCCGCGGCGGCCGGCGGCGCCAACGCGACGGCCGCACCGTCGTCGGGCGGCGCCATGTGCGGTAACGAGAGCACTATGCTCGATCACGTCAACCGCCTGGCCGAGTACCGTCTCGACCCTTCGTCCGGCATTGCCAAGTACGTCAAACGCACCACAATCAACCCAGCAATGACGAGGAATTCTTTAATGGAATTGTTTAATTAATCTATTCTCCCCAACGAACCACGGCACGTCAGCTTCTCGCGCACGCTCCTGGAGCTGCGCTGGCCCTTCGCCAACGCCAACGGCGACAACTCGCTCGAGTTCGCCCCCGGCTCCCGGCTCCTCTTCCTCGGAGTCGGCGACGGCGGCTCGTCCTTCGACCCCTTCGAGAACGCCCAGAACCCTGGTGCGCGCTTGCTCAAAAACCGCACACACCGCACACACCGCACACGCACTCACGCACACGACGCACGCAGATGTCCTGTTGGGTAAGGTGCTCGTGTTCGATCTGAGCAGCCTGTCGGCCGACGCCAGCTGCAACCAGACCGCCCTTCGCCTGTCCGAGCTCAACGACCGCTGTCCCGACATCGCCGCGGCCATCACCACCTTCGCCACAGGCCTGCACTCACCCGCCGGCTTTGAATTCCTCAACCCGTCGGCCCAGCTCGAGGCCTCGTCCTGCCCGGGCGGCGCCAACGCGACCATGGCCGGCGGAGCCAATGCCACCGCGGCCGGTGCGAATGCGACCATGGCCGGTGGTGCCAACGCCACCGCGGCTGGTGGGGCCAACGCCACCGCGGCCGGTGGGGCCAATGCGACCATGGCCGGCGGCGCCAATGCCACGTCTGGCGGAGCCAACGCGACCATGGCCGGCGGCATGAACCTCACGCTGAGCGACCTCGCTCCTCGCCTGATCGCACCCGGTACACCCAGGGCCACAGAGTGGGTGGTGGTGGTGATGGTGGCGGCGGTGGTGGGCTAACGGGGCGACTATGGCGCGTGGTGTGTGCGTAGATCGGGGACAGAACCGGTACGACGAGATCAACATCATGGAGCAGATCGGGGCCAACTACGGCTGGGACATCATCGAAGGTTGGTCCTGCATCGACCAGAGCCTCGAGCTGTACGGGCCACCCCCCACCCCCACCCGTGTGTCGCGTGTGTGTTGGCTAATTTCCCGCTTAATCTGACCATGTGTCTGCAGTTGCCCGGAATCAACGAGCGGAATGGCCAACGCCACTCTGGCAGCGAATGAGACGGCGGGCGGCGCCAATGCGACCATGGCCGGCGGCGCCAATGCCACTGCCGGTGGAGCTAACGCGACCGCAGCCGGCGGGGCCAACGCGACGATGGCCGGTGGAGCCAACGCCACCGCAGCTGGCGGGGCCAACGCGACCATGGCCGGCGGGGCCAACCTGACTGCGACGAACATGGCCGTGCTACCGGCCGCCGTCATCCCGCACAACTGCCGCCGGCTCTACAACCCGCAGGCCATCCTGGGCGGCCGCCTCTACCAGGGCTCGGAGCTCGACCCCATGCTCCAGGGCGCCTACATCTTCGGTGCCATCACCTCCCTTCAGAACGGCAACGAGTCGCTCCCCACCGGCAACGGCGCCCTCTACTTCCTGCGCCCCGAGTCCTTCAGTGGCAATGCGGTGGCGGACCTGACCATGTGCCCGGCGGCCGGCGGCGCCAATGAGACCATGGCCGGCGGGGCCAACGCGACCGTGGCCGGCGGGGCTAACGCCACTGAGGCCGGCGGCGCCAACGAGACCATGGCCGGCGGGGCTAACGCCACTGCGGCCGGCGGCGCCAATGAGACCATGGCCGGCGGGGCCAATGCCACTGCGGCCGGCGGGGCCAACGCTACTGCGGCTGGTGGAGCCAACGCGACCATGGCCGGCGGGGCCAACGCCACCATGGACGGCATCACCACCACCGGCTCGGGCGTCAATACGTCGTTCATCCCCAACAGCCGCCTGGAGGTGTTCCCGGTCACCATCAACTACCAGTTCTTCCCCGTACGTAACCCCCTTCAAGGGCTTGTCGGAGCTGGGCTGACAACTTGCGCGTAACTGGAATTCCGGGAGCAGACGCAGCACTTCTTCACGGCCCTGGGCGCGGATCCGTCGCGCAGCCGACTCTTCTTGGGCGTAAGCTCCACGGAGGGCGCCACCGGCGGCATCGGCGGCGTGTTCCGGCTCACGCCGTTCAACGAGGGACCGCAAAACCCCGCCATCATCTCTGGTACTTTCACGCCACTCACACTCATATTCGCGCGCGCGCGCAACTTTACTAACGTCCCACACAGCCACCAACCTCAGGCCCGGTCAAATCGTGTTCTCGGCCGAGAATGCCACTGCAAGCGCCAGCCCCTCGGCCGCCGCTAGCCCCTCTCGCTCTGCCTAAGCGCCCACCCTCCCACCCTCCAACGAATAAAAGGAGCGCACATGCCTGTTTCGCAAGATATAATCAAACCAATGGGCTGTGTTGAAATTGTTTGGCCAAAGAAAGACATTAAGCCAATCTTCGGGTCGCACGTGAACATTCCCACTTTCTGGGTCAACCACGCCTGGAGAACAAACCTCGTTGTCAGGCCAATCAACGAGGTTGGTCAAACCTCGTTGTCAGGCCACTCCACTAGCCCGATTGGCGGGAAGTGCCGGCTGGCAAATGAATTCCCACCTGTCACGCTCGTCATGCCGCCCACGAATAGCAGCAGTTTGAACGCGCTAACACGAAGCGCACAACGCCTTGCCTCCCCCACTTGTTGTGTTCTGCTGGCGCAACTCCACGTCGTCTACCACCACCGCCGGAACCAAACGAATATTCACCACAGCTGCCGCTCTTCGCCTCTTTTCATCTTCTTCGCCAGCCAAGCGAGCGCACCACTCTTCACTGTTTCTTTCTCTTTTTCGTCTCCGGCTAGTTTAACTTATTCTTTGCTTTCATCTTTCATCTTTCTTCATCTTGTGCACAACAAAGAGGCCATGGCCACGTCGGCTTCGTCAGCTTCGTCGGCTACAACTTCGAGCGGCGTATCTTCGTCATCTTCGCCGGAGGTGCGCACCGTGGAGCGGCTCAAAAAGAAGGAGCGCCGCAAGAGCCTGCGCGAGCGGCTGGTCGCGTCGTGGGGCCTCCACGTCACCGATGGCGGCGCGGTCGACCCCGCCAAGCCGCGGCACAGCGCGGGCCTGCACAAGGTGCAGGGCGGCCGGGTGGTCGGCCTCGCGCGCGACTACGAAAGCTGCGGTGGCACTACAACAGGCGGTGTGACCGGCAACTCCAACGATGACCACCACAACAACAATGACGGCACACCGCGCCGGCGATTCGATGGAAGCAGCAGCGCAGGCTCGCCCAGGCCAGGCCTCCGCTACAAGAACGGTATCGCTGCGCTCTTGCTCCCTCCCCTCTTCGTTCTTTGTCGCTTTTCGTTCTTTCACTTCTTTTTTAAGTCCGAGAGCTGCAGGTGAAACAACGTTGTGTTGAACACTTTCATTTCCTCCAGACTTTTGGGTGTGTTCTAATTATTCATTGATTTGTTTATTATTTTAAACTAAACAAACTTGTGCACTCAGGCCGAACAGGCGCCACGGAAATGTATCGGTCGTCGCCGATTCTCGGGTCGCCGCCGGTGTCGGCCCGCCGCGACGTCGATGCATTCCGCTCCGAGGGCAACCTGTCGTCCTACGTACAGACCGCCGCCACACGCCCGGCCGAGGCCGCCAGCACCACCACGACCACGACCACGACGAGCGCGACTGATGGCGGCGACGACGGCATGTCGGAGCTAAGGAAGGGCGGCTGGTGGCGGCCCAAGAAGATGTTTGGCAAGAGTTTGAAGAAGACGAAGAAGACGAAGACGAAGAATGAAGACGACAGCGATGAAGATGAGGACGAGGACGAGACCAAAGAAGAAGAGAGCGAAGCGGAGCAGCAGGTGTCCATCCACGTGCTCATCAAGCGAAGCGACGTAGAGGGCATCACGAAGTTGATCAGCTCCAGCCGGAAGCCCAAGCGAGGCGGCGAGACCGGCGGCGTCGACGACGTCGTCAACCTCAAGAGCGCGCTCGGCTCCACTCCGCTCCACACCGCGGTCGAGGTCGGCGACCTCGAGGTATTGCCCTTCACGGGCTCTTCAGAGCCGAATTTGTCTGCTTGACACGCTGGTGGTGACGATCATGATCGAATGCAGGTGGTGCAGCTGCTGCTGAGGAGCGGCGCCAATCCGGACCTGGTCGATGGCATCGGCTGGACGCCTCTTCTCGCCGCATGCAAGTATATACACTCACGAGCACACGACACACACGACACACCGACACACATGATACACACCGCACACATCGTAACGAAAACTAAAATGTGGTTCTCGACAGAGCGGGCAACCTGCCGATGGCCCAGGCGCTTCTTGTCGATGGTAAGGCCGACGCCAACTCGAAGACCAACGACCTCAACACGCCCCTGCACTACCTGGTATGTTTAGTGTTTACTTTTTATCTATATATATATATATCTCGAAAGCTGACGTCACCACGCTGTCTGGCGCAAACACGTGACGACAGGCCGGCAAGGCGCCCAAGGACGACACCCGGGAGCTGTACTACGACGTGATGACGCTGCTCCTGGGCAAGGAGGGCAAGGTGTACGGCATGGTCGCCAACAACACCACCTCGCGAAACAAGAACGGAGGTACTGGGAGCAAAGTGTTTTCTTTTGATTTGGCTCTCGACACTGAAACTGAAGCGGTTCTCGTTTCGTGCCGCGCAGACACGCCATTGCACTACGCGGCCATGCATGGCCGACCCGAGGTGGTGCAATGGCTGCTGGAGCACCACGCCGCGGTCAATAATCAAAACACGTACGCGCTCACCTCTCCAGCACCAAGGTGAATGGAGCAATGGCTGATGGTTGTTTAAAATCTATGTGGGGTCAACTACACAGATACGGGGACACGGCCCTTCACTGTGCGGTGATCAGGGGCGATGCGGAGATGGTGCAGCTTTTGCTCAAGAGCGGAGCCAGCAAGAGCCTCGAGGGCCGATCAGGCACTCCCAAGGAGGTAAACACCCCAGAGCACCAGAGCACCAGAGCACCAGAGCCCACTCAACCCACGCCTCAGCGTGACTCACCTTTTGCTTTTTTCCAGATTGCTAAGAGCGAGCATGCAGACAACGCCAGCCTTCTTGCCTTGTTTTGATGACACCTAATCAGCAGCACACACGTCGACCAAGCACCAGGCCAGCTGTGTATGGCAGTTGCTTTGCGTGCAATTAATAAATTAATAATTGAATTAATAAATAATAGATAATTATTACAAGCCAAGTACACCAACGTAGGTACGAGGAGCTGATCATCATGCGGGGGTGGTGCCGGCGGCAGAGGCCGCGGCGTAGAGGCCCTGCGTGACCTCCTTGGCTTTGGCGATGAGCGGCACCAGGTTCTTCAGCGGACACGCCATGCGCAAAAACGGATGCTGAACCCGGAAACGGCACACGACGCACGACACACGCGGCACACATGACACGACACGCACAGTCAACAGAACAGGTGTTCGAGGGGGAGGAATGGTGGGGCGCACCTTGAGGAGTTCCTCGGCCGAGGCTCTGGCGGAGACCTCGACCTCGAGACATCGCTGCATGAAGTCCTTGAATGTGTTCGACCACTTCTCCGGCTCCTTCAGCTGTGGCGAACCATGCGTGGCAATCAAAAACAGCGCCTGTGTGCGGTGCGCGGCGTGTGCGGTGTGCGGCGTGTGCGGTAAGTCACGAGTGTCATGAGCCTGCAAGTGGTGGTGAATGGGTGGTGTACCCTGAGCGGCGGGTACTCGAGGTACGGCGGCTCGCCCTCGGCCATTTCGATGGCGGCGATGCCCAGGCTCCAGATGTCGACGCCGAAGCTGTAGTCGAACCCGCGGATGAGCTCCGGTGCCATCCAGTAGGGCGTCCCCACCACCGAGTTCCGCTTCGTCACCTCCTCCGTCAGCTGCGCACAGTAGCCAAAATCGGCTGTGTGTGTTGTGTGCGTGCGTGTCATATGTGGCGTGTGCGGTGGTGTGTGTCGTGTCGTGTCGTGTCAACAATAAACCGCTAAGTCGGAGCTAAAAGGCAGGGCGTCACACCGAGGCAAACTTTGCCGTCCATCTTCAAGAGGATGTTATCGCTCTTTATGTCGCGGTGGAGCCGCTTCATTCCGTGAATGTACAGCAACGCTCTCAACACCTTCACACGCAGCACACACGCAGCACATTCATGAGCCAAAGGTTTGAACACATCACGCACGACACACGCACGCACGTTACCTCTTTGCACACGGCCGCGATTTGTGGCTCGGTCATTTTACAAATGGAGATCACCTCCGTCAAGGAGCCGCCGTCCATGTGCTGTTGCGCGGGACACCGCTGGAGTCAGTACAACCCCCCACACACACACACACAATTCGAAGCGCACACGACACAGCGACACACACAGCACTCGGGGCTCACCTCCATGATGACCCAGAGGGCGTTGTTCTTCATGTAGGCCCCCACGTAGCCCACCACGTTGTTGTGTTGCGACGTCGACATCATCGCTGCAGGTTCCAACGAAAGGATGCGACACACATGTGTGAGTACACACCTGGTGCAGGTGCAGGTGCGTGTGCGTGTGCGTGTGCGTGTGCGTGTGCGTTTGCGTGTGCGTGTGCGTGTGCGTGTGCGTGTGCGTGTGCGTGTGCGCAAGAGTACCGATTTCGTTCTCAAGAGTGCTGAGATTGGCCTGCGACACGTTGCTGATGACCTTGATGGCCACCTGTTCGTTTACGAGGCCGTAAGTATTATTCTTGTTTTAAAAACAAAAACAAAAAAAAAAATTCGAATTACGTGCCTTATTGCCGGTCGATATCTGGGTGGCCAGGTAGACCAGGCCCGATGACCCTTCGCCGATCTTGACGAGGTCGGTGAAGTGCGGCTCGGGGATCCTCGTCGCTGAACCATCGCTTGCGGCCAAGCAGGAGCTGCTGCGGCTGCTGTTGCGGCTTCGCCGCTCGTCCCCCTTTGCTTCCATTGCTGCTGGTGGTGGTGGTGGTCGGCCGGCAGCTTCTCCTCTTGGCCCTTGTGCTCGGCCTCGCTGGCCTCCGCTTCCTCCGCCGCCTCCTGTGCTTCCTCCGCCGCCTCCTGCTCCTGTTGCTTGCTCTTACGAATGACTGCGCGCGCATCAATCAGGATCGCACACGACACACGCAACACAACACGCGACAGGACACACGACACACGACACACGACACGCGACACACGACACACGGCTGGTACCAGCTTGCAGGTCGCCGGGCGAGGTGGAGGTGCGGTCCTTGGACTCGGGCCTGGTGTTGGCCGCCACTTCGTTCCGGAAGCGGTGGAACCCGCTGGTGGCCGAGCGCGACCGCCGGTGGCGCGTGTGCTTGTGGGAGACTGTGACGCGTCGCTCGAAGGCGTTGGGCGATGCACCGACGCCACACGTCGGCCGCACAATCTGCGACTGCGACGAGCCCAGCCCGCCCGCATCGCTTTCGCTTTCATTTTCGTTCTTTTTGCCGCCGATGGCCGAGTCCGCTTCCGGGTGCGCAATGCGGGGCGACGTGGGCGCCGATTTGGGGAACGCGCTGGGTGTCGAAGAGGTGGTCGAGGTGGTGGTCGTGGTGGTTCCGATGGAGGCCGCGTCGGCGTAGAGCTCCTGCTTGCGGCTGCTGCCGATTCCGCCCACCGCGGCACCTCCGCCAAAGTGGCGTTCGTGGAATTCCAGGACCTCGCGCACCTGTTGCGGGTGGTTCATTTGTTCCTGTGGCGGTTTGGTGAAGAAGAAAAGCGGAACGATGAGCTCATCAATCGCACACGACACGACACACACGACACACGACACGACACGACAGACGAAGGAAATGTGGGGCAGAGAGTAGTCACCTCGCCTGAGATGCCGGCGGCGTTGAGCAGGGTGGTCCATTCAGGCGGGAGGCCCTGGAAGCCCATCTCTGAATCGAAGTTGACGTGCACGTGGTGCCTCACCTTGAACGGAAGGCCCACAGTCGGACCTAAAGAAGCACAGCACACAACACAACACACGACGCACGCAACACGACACATGGCACGCAGCGCACACGATACAAACAACGGAAAGTGGTGAATGCGCGGCACAGAGAGAGCTGCGTAGCAACAACCAACGGTACCTGCGCTCTTGAGGAGCTCCTTGTTGGCTCGCGACGGCTGAATGGCCGGGGAGAGGCCTTCGGTGGAGGTGGTCTCGCAGGGCTGGGCCGTGTCGTCCTTCCACACATCGGGCACGCCCTACATACGTGAAATTAAATTAGGAATATATATATATAATAAAAATAAAATAAAAATATCTCTTTTGTTTGGAACTGTACAAATTTAAATAAATGGAAATTTTAAATGGATTTAAAAAATGGGGAAAAAAAAGGAGTGTGCCTGCGTACGGTGAGAATGCCTTGGCTGTCGACGACGTGTATGCCGCGACGAAAGGAGGAGGTGTCGGGACCGGATATCGAGATGGTGTCCTTCTCCTTCTCCTTCTTGGCATTCTTTGAGATTCTCCACGTACCCAACTTCATCTTCTTTCTTTGCTATGCGTATACTAACGTCGTGGTTCGATTCGTTCAAGATGAAAGATGAAGATGAAGATGATGAAGAACGGACAAGAATGTGAAAGAAAAGGAGAGAAGTGGAAGAGGGGGAGGATTGGGGGGGGGGAGATAGAGCGAAGCGGCGGGAAAGCGAAAGGAGAAGAACGAAGGCGACTCGCTCTTCAGTTCCAAGCTAAAGCTTCGTCGTTTCTAGTTTCGATTCCCTTCGGGGTGAGCGACAGGCGGGACAGTATTGCTGCTGTACTGTCGCACGCCGCGGTGTACCCAATTCAGTGGCCCAGAACAAAACTGCGAAATTTCACACCAACTGATTATTCAAAAAATCAAATAAAACAAAGTGTACACAGCGTTGGGTCGGCGTTACCACGCAATAAAATGGACATATTCGATGTATATAGCTATATAGTAAGAAGTTTATATTGGCCAATGGATGTGATCGATCAACTAGCTCTCCTCCATGCTCTCCTTTTTTTCTTCTTTCTTTTGGAGGCGGTTGAGGACGTCGCCGATGGTGGTCTGGATCTCCTCGACGTCGTTGCGGAGCCGCGCCTCCTTCTCCACCATGAGGTCGAGCAGGCGCGACACGTCACGCTCCGCCAGCGTCGAATGGAACAGCCGGAAGGCGTCCAACCACAGCGCCTTCGAGTACGGGATCTGGTTGATCGCCCTGTCGTCGTCGTTGATTATGATGATGGTGTTAGCGTGGTTTTGGTAGTTGGGATAGCTGAGTTTAGCTCTGTTTACCTGTAGTAGACGCGGAGAGCGGCGGCTTCGTCGTGCTGCCCCACTTCGAAACGGAGGTAGTATCGCCACAGCACGATACAGCGCGCCGAGCTGAAGCCATCGACGCCACACAAACTCCAAAAGGTGAGTGTCGTGCGTGTGTGCGATCGTGTGCGTGTGCGGTGTTGCGTGTGCGTGTGCGGCGTGTGCGGTGAGAAGGAACGTACTCGGAGGTCTTCTCGAGGGCGCGCTCGAAGAGGGACCGAATGCGGTGGGCCGACCCCAACCGCACCACCTCGGACCGGATGGCAAAGAGCCACAGCACGGGGTGGTTCTGGCGCTGGAGCGTGTCGTCGAAGAAGCGGCGCAGTCGGCCCTCGATGCGCGTGCGGGCCTCCCAGTGGATGTAGAGGCTCAGGAAGAGCCGGTGGCTGGGGAACAGCCTCAGCGCCCGCTCCAACAGACCCCGCAGCTTGCCGGGTGGGGTGGCCTCCCTCTCCGAGTGCGTGTACACCAACCGCACATACCTGCCACCCACGCCGGTCAGATTCGTGCATATGTCGTGTGTGCTATCTGCGTGTGTGCGTGTCGTGGGTGTCGTGTCGTGTCGTGTGTGTCGTGTGTGTATGTCGTGTGTGTATGTCGAGTGTGTCATGTGCTCTATGTGGGTGTCGTGGGTGTGTCGTGTGCGTACGATTCCCAGAGCTCTTCTACGTCGGCCAGCACAGCTTCGTGTTGGGCGCTGGATTCGTCGAGGAGTGCAAGCGCCACGTTGAACCCTTGGAACGCCTCCTCGTAGACCTGTGCATCAAGTCAATTTTAATCCCAGTTAACAACCCGCAGTTCCCTCGCAACACACACGACACACGAGAGATGAACTTCAACGTACCTGGCACGCGGCATCGAGTCCTAGGGTCATGTATTGGAAGAGGGCGTAGCAGACTGTCAGGTTCTTGAGCGCCATCGACGGCGCACCGTTGTGCAGAGCCGGCCTCTCGTCGTCGATCCTCTTCTGGAACATCTGCAACACCAACCACACCACCACCGCGTGAGTCACGAACGCGTTGATGAAGAGGAATGTACGTACATTCCTGGCCTTGAGGACTCGCGTGGGCGCGATGGCGATGGGCTGCTCGGGCTGCGGCGGGGCAGGTGCCGCGGCTGCGCCCTTCTTCTTACGCTTGGTCCTGGGTGCCGGCGGGTGGGGGCTGGCGTAGGACTCCTCCATGGCCGACAGGACCACGTGCAGCGCCACGCTGTTGGCGACCTCGATCTCGGCTCGCGAGGGCGTCGTTGCGACAGTCGAGGCCGCAGCGCCGGTGGCGACGGTTCGCTCTTGCGCCAGCGCTTCGGGTCGGTAGAACTCCATCTCGGCGTAGTGGCGGAAGAGAAGCGGGGCGTCGGTGCGCGCGGAGGCGGGCAGACCGAACTGCAACGTCAGCGCTGTGTCGTACACTTTGCGCGCCTACGTGTGCCGACACACACACGACACACGACACACACACAAACACACACACACAGGTCAGTGATGAAAGCGCTAGGGGGACGGTGCGCGGAGAAGGGGAAAACAAACCTCGGGCAGATGACCGCTCTTGTGCTCCAGCTGGGCGTATTCGTTCCAGAGGGGCAGGTTGGTGCGGTTGGCAGAGAGAAGGGACTTGGCCGCCTCCCGCGCCTCGGTGAGGTTCGTCTGTCCGCCCTCGAATCGCAGGTAGGCGGCAGCCAGAGTCGTGCTGCCAGGGAACAGCTTGAGCATGCTCTGGAACACATTCCTAATAACGCGCGCACATCATCAGCACACTCACGACACACACGCACACACACACACACGCACAGTACCTGATGAACTTCAGCTTGCTCGGATCGGTGATGGTGGTCACGTTCCGCATCCACATGCTGGCCTGTTCTTCAAGGCTGCCGCTCGGCCCGGCCCGGCGCCGGTCGACAGGGTGTCCATCCGCTCGCTTATCTCGACACCCGCGTGGGGCTGCTGGCCAAGAGCCCACATTTCCTTGTGTTCGGTCGCGTAGGGGTCGGCGGGGTTCATCGATGTGGCCCCGTCGGCGACGGCAATCGAGAGCGAATCGAGAACTGCAAACACGTCGCCGAGGTCTTCGCGCTCGAGAAAGTCGCGCTTGCGCGACACATGGTTGGATGAGACGGCGATGAGCGAAGATGACGAAGACGACGACGATGACGAAGCCTGGGCGGCGGTCGACCGAGCGTCTTCGCGCAGGAGGGCGATGCCCTCCAGGTCGGAACCCAGCAATTTGAGGAATGCGAAGATGAGCTGCATGCGGAGCTGGTCGTCGGCGACCTCGAATATGTTGTACTTGAGGTCATCAAAGAGCACCACTCGCTCCGGATCTTCTTCTGAGTCCTTCCCTGTTGATGCTCTGTCATCAGCATCGATGCTGACGTCGGCAACACACACACACACACACACACGAAGTCAGATATGTGGGTACCCTCTTCCTGGTCAGATTCTTCGGCGTTGCTGTCGCTGTCGGTCGACTTGGCCGGCCGCCAGTAGCGCTTGTCGAGCTGGTCCTCGACACGCACGAACTCCCAGTAGAGCCGCCGCATGCCGTCCTCCACGCTCTCGCCGCCGCCGCCGCCGCCGCTGATCAACGAGCTCAGCTCCTCGTCCGCCGCTTCTTCCTTTTCAGCCTTGACCTTGGGCGGCTTGGGCCTCTCCGCCATCACGTCCGCGAGCCACCGAGCCCACCCGGTTGCCCCCTACAGATGTCCGACACCCAATCGTATTAATTACTTAGAATAGAAATAGAAATATAAAACATTTTGATCTGATAAATAAAACATGATAAAATAGAAATAGAAAAAGCTAGGAGAAGGAGCTGGAGAGTACCTCCTCGCCCAACCGAGGCGCCTCAGAGTCCCAGAAGGCCTCGAGGAACTTGAGCTTGGTGTTGTACTCGGTAAGGTGGCTCGGGCAGAAGAAATTGAGCTCCAGCATTCCCTGGAAAACGCGGCGTCGTCCGGTCAATCGCAACCAAGTGCCGTGTGTGTCGTGCGCGTGTCGTGTGTGTGTCGTGTGCGTGTGCATGTAGTACTCACCTGGAAGAGTGCGACCGCACGCTCAAGATAGCCGCCCTGCTTTTCAAAGGCGCAAGCCCGCACGAAGAAATCGACCATGGCTCGCTGAATCTCTTGCCGTTTCCGATCATCGCCTTTCGTCTTGAGGAGCTTGGCGTCCTGTTCTCGCAGGGTCTGGATGGCCGACGTGAAGACCTCGCGCATGGCCGACATGGTGAACTTGGTGAAGGTCGACAGGCGGAAGTTGAGGTAACCTTCCCACAGCCGAACGCTTGCTGGATGGGCATCGATCGTGTCCTCCCACAAGAATATCATTTTCTCTCCTCTGTTTTGTCATGACAACGACGCACCACCACCCACACAACACAACACGATGAGTACCAAGGCGAGGACAGCTGAGGGAGTACATGGGCCACGTACTCCAGGATTTGAGCTGACGTGTTGAGGTAGCCGAACAGGAGATCCTCCGACTCGGGATTCTCGCCCATGGCCTTCTTGAAAATGGCCAACTGGAAAGTACGCAGCAAGTGTTGTGTGAGCACACGCACACGCACACGCACAACCACCACCACCACCACCACCACACAACACAGGATGTGCGAAGGACGGGATACGCACCTTCTTCTCGACGATCGGCGTAGTGGTCCTTCTGCTGAGGGGTTGGTATTCGTCCTGGAATGCAATGAACTCCAGCCACAGCTGCACGTCCTTCGGCCGCTGTTGGAGCCTCTGATTGAACTCTTTCGACCTTGCAGCAGAAAACCAATAAAAAAATCAATAATCAATAAAAAGATATAATACAGAGTAGTAATTATGAAGAAAATAATGAATAAGTGTGCGTGTAGTACCTTCGGGTGAGGTAGTCCTCCAGGACCTCTTCCTCGTCCGCTTCACCCTCGCTATCGGAGCTGACGTCGATCGCGACGAAGTTCTTAGCACTCTTGAAACGGTCACCGTCCTCGTCCATTTCCTCCTCTTCCCGTTTTCTGAGAGCGCGCACCACGCCACGCACCAATCGCACATGAGCACCTTTACACACCATATCACCATATGCCACACACCACACACCACACACACCACACGACACACCGCGCACCGCACACACCAAAGCGTGGCTGTACCTGCGCCAAGCTGGGATGGCCGGTGGCAGGTTCTTCGGTTTGGTGTAGCGCACGATCTGCGCCGCCGAGGCGTCGTCATTCCGCCCGATGGCGTAGCCCATCGACTTGGTGAAGGTGAGCCGCTCGCCGGGTCGCAGGCCCAGGCAGAAGCGCTTCATCGAGTAGCGCGGGATGTCCCCGCGGTAGAGGTACCCGAACACCAGGTTGTTCCTGTCGCCGGTGGCATCAATCCTGTACAGCCTCTCGACCGGCAACGATCTGTACAGTAACGGTTAGCGAATGTGGTGGCGTGTGCGGTGGTGCGTGTGCGGTGGTTCGTGTGTCGTGCGGTGGTGTGCGTACTCCACAGGCTCGGTGAGCCAGAGTGCGGCGGGCTTTCGCACGTCTTCGCGCATGAGCCTGCGCTCGATCTGGAGCTCCTTCTCCCGTTCCTCCTTTGTCCGCTTGCGTGCCTCTTCGTCTTCTTCTTCATCCCTGCGCCGTCGTCCTCTGCCGTCCCTCCTCCTGCGCTTCTCCTTCTCCTTCTCCTTCTCTCTTTCTTCTCTCTTCCGCTTCTTCTTTTTCTTCTTCTCATCGCTCCTCTTCCTCCTGTCCTTTTCCTTGTCTCCTTCCCTATCGCTGCCTCGCTTCTTTCTCTTCCTTCGACTGCGGTCGTCAGCGTCAGAGTCGTCGGAAGAAGAGGAGGAGGCTCGAGCCGAGGCGGCGACAGGCACCACCGGCGGCGGCGGGGCCGGCTTGGGCACCAGCTCCTGTGGGTAGGAGCTGAATGAGGGCAGCGCCGCACCACCCCCAGCAGCTGCAGGGACCAGCGCGCCGGCTGAGGGCGGCAGTGGCGGTGGTGCGGCGCAGATGGCAGCAGCCGCAGAGGGGAAGAGTGCAGCGGCAGAGGGGAAGAGCGAGGGGACGGGAGGCGGCGAGGGGAGTGCAGCGGTGGAGGGGAAGATGGGAAATAGTGGCGCAGAAGGGGCCTGCAAACATCCAACAACGCTGCATTACTGCGGTTGTTTTAGCAAAACGAAACAAGGGCATGGAGCGTACTTGCTGCATAGTGGCTGTGCTGGGGAAAAGTGGCTTCCGCGCCTTGGCTGGCGTCCCGTCGTCCATCGAGGCTGATCTTGCTTGAATCAAATCAGTGTAAAAGAAAAGTCAAGAAATCAGCTGAGGCATCTAAGGAATATGGTATTTATTTGTCTTTTTACCAGTGCGAACGGCTTGACTGCGGGAGGACTCGCGGAAAACTGGCCTTCGAGGCGTCTGGAGTTAACTTGGCGGACAACAGATTGAAATCTCCCAATTTTTGATGGGATAACGTGCTTTGGTCCTCAAACATTTTTAAAGATTTACCCGGCCTGAGGACCGTGGCGTTCGCACTGTGTACGGGATTGTTAAAAAAAAATCAAAAATTCAAGGCAGGCGGCAAAAAAAATACTTCAGCCAGTTGCTTTCCACCCGACGGGAGTTCAGCTGGCGCAAGCTCATGAAGAAAGCTTGCCAGCACCACGGCCCTCCACTTGCTGCCCTCCCTAAAGAGTGCACAGACCTCATTCTACGCTTCCTGCCCCCAATCGACACACACCACCTACTCAGCTCGTGTCGTGCCCTCCACGATAGGTACCGCCGCGCGGTTATTCAACAAAACAGAATCGACCTCATCCTCGTGTCTGACCCTGACACAGTGCTAGATGCCGCCGTCAACCACAACACGCCTCTCGACTCTGACCACGCCCCAGTTTCCGTCCACATAGCCCTGGTGCAGCACGGTGGCCCCTCCCCCCTACCCACCCAACGCACGGCCACCAGGATTTTTGCTACGAATAAACTGAGCCACCCTCGCACCAAGGCCAAATTCCAGAGCATGATTGGCCAGTTCTTGGATCGGGCTGGCCAGGAGGAGGCCACCCCGCTCGAGAGAGCCTATGCTGCTCTCCAGTTCGCTGGCCGCAACACCCTCCGGCTTGCTGGCAAGGTGGGGGACAGCGAGGCGGTGGGGATAGCCCGCCGCTATGCCCACAAGAGCGTCAAAGTGGCCAACTACGTTGCCGCCTGCCTGGCCAGCGAAACACCAGCCGCCATCACACACCGCATGCACCAACTGGCCGGGGGGCCAGAGTGGGCTCGCTGCGAGCTCCCTCACAGCAACACCGCGACCGGCCTCTCCATGTACCTGGCCAGGGTGAAGGGGGCCAAGCGGAGGACACAAGCCAAGCTCCTGGCGGAAAAGCGTAAATGCTACTCCAACAACAAGGACACCATGCTCGCCAACGCCACGCTTCTCTCCCCCAAGGACCTGTCCAGGTTCTGGCGCAGGCTCAGGACTGTTGAGCCCGCCAGGCCCACCAGCAAAGCCACTGTGGTGGTGGACGGCGATACACACACCGTCCACAATGCACCTGCCATCCTCAACACCTTCCACGATTTCTGGGCCACCCAATACACGGCTACTCCTAGCTATGTTGGCGAAAAGCCGTGGTTCTATGGCCAGCCCCGCGCCATCCCCTCTGAAGCTATCAAGGCCCTCACTGGCCTCATCTCCATGGAGGAGTACCAAGCCGCACTGGCCTCTGCTAAACCTGGCGCCCCAGGCACCGATGGAATTGACATGCTTATGCTACACGCGGCCACCAACAACACACACTTGTGCATTGTCGAGTGCATGAATAAAGCCCTCGTTCCAGGTGCTGAGGTCCCCGAGGTTTGGCGCAGGGCCAGAATTATCCTCATCCCAAAGGCTGGGTCGGCGGCCAACCTGGCCAACTATCGGCCCATTTCTCTGTTGCAAGTGTCCTACAAGTTGTTTACAAAAATCATCACTAATCGACTCTCCAATGTTGCCAACCAATACATCCTGGCTGAATCCCAATTGGGATTTCAAACTGGTATGTCGTCACAGTCCGCCCTGCGTGTCCTAACAGACATCATTGAAGACTCCAATAGGCGGGGCAGCAAGCTCCACATAGCCTATATAGACTTCAAAAAAGCCTTTGATTCTATACACCACAAAGCCCTGTTCGAGGCTCTCACCTACTATGGACTAGGAACCGACTTTGTCGACCTTGTCCGCAGACTTTACCATGGCTGCGAGTCAGACATCTACGTTAACCACAATGTCAGCAGCAAGTTTCCTGTCCGCCGAGGGGTCAGGCAGGGAGACACCCTGTCCCCCCTCCTTTTCATCCTGGCCGTCAACCCCCTACTTGAGTGGATCGGCAGGGGAGACTCTGGACACCAATTCCCCAACGGCCTTGCGGTCCCTGTGTCGGCGTATTGCGACGACATTGCCCTCACTGGCCGCAAGGCTGAAGACTTGGAAAGCTCGGTCCGCATGTTGGTGCAGTTCGGCGCCTGGGCGGGGTTAGAAATAAACGCGTGCAAGTCTGCACACACGTGCGCCAGAGCAAGCAGACCAGCCGTGCTTCACGCCCCGGACGCGACCACACCCACACCATTGCTGCCGCACTCCGCTTGCTACCAGTACATGGGCGTCGCCGTCAACCTTGACCTTAACTGGTCTGTGCAGATGACACAGACTAAAGATCGCGTCACCAGGTACCTGCACCTAATCACCCACAGACACATATCCACAGAGAGCAGGATCTATATCAGTAACATGGTCATCAACGCCCTGGTGGGCTATAGCATGTGCGTCGTGCAATACCCGCACGCCTGGCTCGGCAAAGTCCAGTCCTTGATCATTACTGCCCTCAAGCGGTCCATGCACATCCCCGCTAACCTAGATAATGAACCCTTCCTCATGGCCACCAGCGAAGGGGGCCGGGGCCTCACCAGCCTTGTTGACTTGCAAAACGCCATCCTATGTGCCAGCACCGTGCAGGAACTCACGTCCCACGCCCTCAGCACGCGTACTGCCGGCGCCTCCTGGCACCACGCCTTTGCCTTTGACGGCAGCCACATCGGCCGATGGGCTGCCGCCCTCCGAGACATGGGCTGGCAGGCATGGCCCAGGACCAGTGACATGGACTGGGTCGGCCACTTTGTCGCCGACCCGGCCCTTGCCCATGCGCTCGTCAATAAAGGCATATTCCGCTGGTCTCACATGACCACCAACGGGGTGCTCAAGCCCAAGCATCTCATTGTTGGGATCACGGGCGTCGGCGTCACAACCCAGGAATACCTCAGGATCCAGGCCATCCTGAGCTCCAGCCGGCACACACATACGCCACTGGCTGCCGCCCACAAGTCCCTGCGTGAGCTAAATCGGTTCTCAGCCCTACCTGAAGAGCTCACGGACCTACACTTCAATCACGCCACTAACACCCTGACCGTGTTCACCGACGGGTCCTGCGCCAACGACAAGGCAGCAGGAGCCGTCTACTTCGGACCCCGTTCGCGCAGAAACAGGGCCTTCGCCATCGCTGCAGCCCCCATCTCTATGGTGGCGGAGCTCCACGCAATTGAAGAGGCCCTGCTATGCGTGCCAGCGGGGGTCAATGTGTGTATTGCCACGGACTCCAAATCCAGTATCCAAGTCATCAACAGCTGGGGCCGATGGAAACAGAATAGGAAGACCAAACAAGAGGGCCGGGGAGTGATTGAACGCATCACCGCCATCCTCGCCCTATTCGAGGCCGAGGGGCGCGGGGTCAAATTCCAGCATATATATAGCCACATTGGATGTAAGACCCGCGCCGCCCGCACCGGTGAAGATGCTGCCAAGCTCCAGGCCAAGCTGCGGGTCCTCAAAGATGAGCTGTGGGGCCCCTTCAAACCCTGGGTGGACGGTAATGAGGGCGCAGACCGGCTGGCCAGCGCCGGGCACTCCAAACCTTATATCACCAAGCCATGGACGATCCCGCCCCTCGGGCTGGCAGTCACGGTCTTTGACCAGAACGGGCACGCCGTTGAAGGAAGCCTCCGCCGCAAAGTACTCCACTCCCGGGCTAGTAGGTGGACCAAAGCCATGCGCAACAAACCTGCCCGAGGGGCCGCCCTACGAGATGACTGCACAGACAGGACAGCCACGCATGCCGCGGTGGACTGCAGCCGAGACCCCACCGTGGCAAGGCTTGGCCAACTTCCTGCACAAGGCCAGGTACGGCGCGCTCCCCTCAAACACACCAGGCACAGACTATACTGGGCCAAGGCAGCGGACGGGTCCAGCACCCCCCGCGCCCCGCCATCCCAGACGCGATCCGATCGGAAACGACTGGTTAAGTGGATGGCCAGGCAGCTGCAATTCAAGGACCAAACGTGCCACCTATGCCCCGCGGGAGACAAGGAAACAGCCGACCATGTCCTAGGCGGAGAATGCGCACTGCACACGCTGGGCGACGCTGAAACAGGAAACGCTATCAGAGAAATGATCAAGGCTCGCGCTACCTCTAACAAGGCGTACGTGGACCATATCCCCCTGTGGTTCCCTCACGGAGGTGCGCCAGACAGCCCGCTCCTGCTCCCCATTGACACCTTCCTCAAACTTGCTTCATACAATAAGCTCATGGGTGGTTTGGGGTACGTCCCCACTGATCTACGCAAGGCCCTCGGGTTCTTCGGCATCACCGGCCGCAAGGAGCTCATCGCGGCAATCGCCGCCTACCTGGCCAAGGCCGCTAATAGCAAGTGGCAACGCAGATGCAAAAACATGATTGCCAGCGCCGATTGGGCAGAGGCCGCAGCACAGGCGGAACGCCTGGTCAGCGCAGGCATCGGGTAATCCCGCCCTATGGGGCGTATTTACACCCCGACGTGGAAAGGGAGGCTAACCTCTAGACCCGCCAAGAGCGGGCCCTTTCCGTCGACAAAAACAAACAAACAAACAAACAAACAGCCAGTTGCTTTCCAGTTATCTCATGAAGGAACTGCTATTTTGCAGCATTAATGGATTGATTTTGCAACACATGCACCTCTGCTGTGTTGGCCATGTCCAGATCCCACAATTGTGGCCAGCTTGGCTGATTACAAATTGTGTTTGTGTGGTCTGGGCTTACAGGTATGAACCAGCTTGTGGGTGGCCAAGTTTTGGTGAAAGAGATGGTTTCATGGGAGAGGCTCTGTCACCAAGCAGAAAGAAAGGTCTATACCTTTGCAGTTGGACAGAGCACCAATAGCAGTATTCCAGGAGCAAAAGTGGGTGCACATCAAGCAAAAATTGAATGGTCCAGTAGCACAATCATTTACCACCAGCACCCCAATGGAACACCTAACTTGTTTTATGTGCTGTGGCCCTGAAACGGGACAAGAGCTCGCCCACCCGACAGGCAGGGATCCCAGGTGGGCCTCGGCGCGATTCGCCAGAAAAAACGAAACGCGACTGGCCGGGAATTTTCACCAACCAGTCAGTGATCCATCCCCTTCAAATGGGGCTTTGGGCTCAATTCCCGGCCTGGCAACCAGACTGATAAGGGAAATCGACCGAACATCTGTCCGTGTGGTGCATTGACACTTCATGAAGCTTGGGCCAACCTAGTGCCTGTGTCACTGACACAAATGGGCTGACATGATGGGGCGGGATGAGTGGTCGCGGCCGCCTCCTACAAGAAGTGAGCGCCTCGGCGGTTGTCTTCACCTCATCGCCACCCCCACAAGCATCAAGCTAGCCCACGCACCAGACGTATCGGCGAGGCCCGAACAAGCACACCACCGCAACGGTGGGTACACTAGTGGTCAGTGAGGGCACACAAAAGAACAACTGGTCCTGGACCTTCATCTCCGGCCCGGCAGCTTCCTTCCACTTTCCTTCCTCTCTTCACATCCTCCGGTCCAAACGCACACTTTCACACCGCGAGCCCGACCGACGAATCGCGTTGCGCCGTCGACCGCCCCCTTGCGTAATACTTGTGCTCTCGGCCTCCTCCGCCTCCAGTTCTCTTTCTTTTCCTTC